ATGGGCCACATCTTTCAATCGCATTTGAACTCTCAAAGAACTGCAAGTATTGGAAATGGCCAATGGTCCAATCGTTTTTGAAGAGACAAGAGTTGAAGTTGTATCCATTCCACGGTTGCCAGTTTGGGGTTGTTGACTTGGACGGGAACCCAATGAAAAAGGGTTGGATGATTGCCACAAACATGGATGAGTTGTCGGGTCTTTCAGAATACATTTGTGACGGTTCTCACACTCATGGTCAAAGCCGGGGTACCGCATTGAAACTTGCAGAGAACTACACATTCAAGTTGACTGACTTCATCCATGATTGTTTTCGTTCCAGAGCTAACCAGGCACAAACCGCCAAGAACAGGAAAAGGTTAGCTCTGCCCGCCATGAGCCGCCGTTCTGATGATTCAAATCTGTCAATCACTGAAAAGATGAACGTGCGGGCTCTCAAGTCAGCCGGTTTAAAGACCGTGCCCCAACAAAGCAACATGTCGGAGTGGCTTGCTTTTCGGAAGTGCCTTGATGTTCAGGGGGACAGGCATGCAGGGTGGGAGGACATCTTTTCAACAGTCCTCGCTTCGTCAACGATCCTGGCGCAAGGAAACAGGACAGAAGACCTCGAGATTGCCGCAGGATTAATGCAATGTTTCACTGCGCAATCCATGTCAACTGACGCCCTGACAAATGTGCCGTGGGCAAAGGAGATCCGCCATCTGTCCGAGCTCGAGCACGACTCGTTGTGGGATCTGAACTTGCCTACTGAGTATGTCCCTGGAACTTCAAGGCCGGCGGTAGACGTCGTGCCCACCATCTATGTGGTGACTTCCGATTCAACTTTGGCTCTGATCACTGGAAAGGGTAGGACTTTGAAGAAGTACACCTTGAAGGAGGATCTGGAATTGCGAAAGTCGGACATGGTTCTCGAAATCGGTCATGACATGCTCTGGGGAAAGGATTTGCAACAGCTCTGCAAAGCAAATATTTCCATGATCAAGGAATTGATGGCGAAATATTCTTCTCATGGATCAGCCATCAGGGTTATTTCGGTAATCTTTTGGTCTGGGAATGAAATTTGTGGGGAATATGGTGTTGAACCCCTTCCCATTTGGGGGCAGAGGGAACCACAGGGCGACTGGAATGCCATCATGGACAGGGTCAAGGGCAACATTGTGTGGTGGAACAATCAGCTCAAGGAATTGGGAGTGGATCAGGCCGCCCTAATCGGCGAGCCCGACCCGCTCACTTATGGATTGAGTCTCATCTTTACCACCTTTGTTGAGCGTCTGAAGGAATGGTTCCTCAAGGAGATTGCCAGTGACAACGATCGGATCAGGTGGATACAGAATGATAAGCTTCCGCCGAGGCTTGAGCTCAGGGACTACTTTCACGCATTCGAGACCGAGCTCAACCGAAGTGAAATGATCGGATATGTCATGGCAACTCTCCACATGCTGCACATGACAGACATCTTGGTGCCCCAGTACAACCTGTCTCTGTACAAGCGCAGGCGTCCTGCAGGGGAAGCTACTATGCGTGATGTCCCACCAAAGATGGAGCATCTCCCAGTCAGGTTTGTGCAGGTCCTCACTGCTCTGCGGGAGAAGACGAACAAGTCTGCGCCAAGCGTCTCGACCCCAGAAAGCTTGACGGCAGAAGAGCTGAGAGACCGCCCAACTGATGCTGGTGTCGCCGATGATGATGATGAAGGTGACCCATGGGATGCTCTGGATCCCAACGAGTATGAAGGTCCATCGGTGGGAAAGGCAAAGGCCAGTCATGCAGCTCCTCCTGACCCCAAGGCGAAAGCTCCAACTGCACAGGAAGACTCAACTCAGGCCACCCCAGCCGGTGAGCCCACGCAGGAAAATGAGCTCAAAGGCACGATCATCCCGAAACATGCACTTGGACACATTGACAAGTATCGGATCATGCTGGACGAGAACATTAATGCGGAAGTAGTTGAGCATTGTGTTGTGGACTCCCATCCATACGAACTGATCACCAAAACATGTTGGGAGATGGATGGAGCGAAGGAGCTGAGGTACCCAGATCGCATGGACCGACACAAGACCAAGGTCAATGCTGTGACGCGTGGACAGCCAGGTCAGGACACCTCTGGATTTGATGAAAACATGTGGCTTGACCTTGATGACTTCTTTCGAATGTTCAATCAAATGCTGCCAGCCAAGTTACCCCGAATGACGGTTGAAGAGCTCATCTCCCTTCTCTACTGGGACAGCAAGTGCCGTTTTGAGTTCCAGTGCATTGCAGGATACCAGAAGGCAACCCGTAAAGGGTTAGCCTACTGGCCCATCAGGATCCGTGCAGTGCAGGGGCACACAAAACGTGCCATGGATGCTGCCTCGGCTGAGGACACATTCAATGCGGTGGAAATCTATGCGCTGTCCGGAGCGGCAGCAATCCAGAAGATGAACGCCAAAGGCAAAAAGATTACAACACCGCAGATGTGCCCTGGCGTAGTCTATCACAGGACTACAAAAGGCAATTGGAAGGGGATCATTGAGAATGGTTTCGTGGCTGGAGGAGGAGAACGAAATTCATCAGGCAGAGCACACTCCTATTTCAGCGAAGTGCGTGTCGACGAGAAAGAGTATGTCAGCGGCTTACGTGCTGAACGACCCATTGAAATCAGGGTTGCGATGGCTGAGGCGGTCAAAGCTGGAATCGTGTTTTTCAGGACAGTCTCTGACGGCATTCTCACAAGTGATGTCGTGCCGCCTCAATACATTATTTCTGTCGATGACACTGCCAAAAAGGTGAATTTGTATCGCCGCCATCAGGAGGTCGCACATTCTGCAGCGAGCAGTGGGGGAGAAGTTGGAGTCCAACAGCTTGTCGAGACCTTTGAGGCCAAGGCATCAAAACGAGCTGGCTCCAAATCTCCGGCCGCCTCAACTGGCGCGCCCACTGCAACGGCATTTTTCCCAGGAAAGGTGAAGCCTCCGCCACCGAATGTGGCTCAACTTGCCGGTATGCCTGGATATGCAAGCAGCAGATTGTTGCCCCCTCCTCCAAAAGGCGAAGCTCCAAAGCCTCCTGCAGCAAAGGTTGAAAGCCCAAAGACACCGCCAAAAACACCTCCAAAACCATCACCGAAGGAAGGGACTTCTGCACCTCATGCACCAGAAGTTCCAAAAGCTGTGACCTCAGAAGTTGATGCATCAGCAAAAGAAGAACCTGCAAAGAAGAAGGCAGCCCTGACCAGCGTGCCTGCAGCTGTGCCTGCGGCATCATCAGCTGCGGCCTTCTTGGAGCCTGTGTCGAAGATCGCATCGCCAAAGGCAGCACAGAAAGATCCAAAAGCTCCAGTTGCAGGGTCACCTTCAAAGACGCCGGCATCAACATCCAAGTCACTGGTGCCAAAGCAGAAGTCTCGCCCTAAAGGCGATGACCAACCTTCGACAAAAGAGGAAAAGAAGGAGGACAAAAAGCCGGTGCCAATCAAGATTGAAGTCACGCAATGCTCAAGATGTTTTGCACAGACTTTCAAGGGACAGATCGAATGTGATGTGTGTGGCTTGATGCTCGAAGGGGTGAACAAGGCTGACCGCACCAAGATTGCAGAGCGCAGGAAGGCCGCCCTTCACAAGCTGGGCTTGTTCTACGACTTCCGTGGCGAGTACCTGCAGAGCATCACACACAGTCAGCTGGAATCTTTGGGTTTGTTGGACGACCAGGCAAGAGGAAGCTCTAGCCCTGAAGCTGGTTTATTAGCAAGGGCAAAGAGCCGATTCGACCGTGCCTTGAGTCTGGGCTTTGTGTCTGTGGCAGACAGGTTTGCCCAGGACGCCACATTTGCAGAGAGCGTGCTGAAGGAGGGGGAGAACGAGTACGATTGTGAAAGGTACGATCTTCTCAAGTCAGCACATCTGCCAAAGCCAGGTCGTACCAAGGCTCAGGTCAAGATGGGTGTTTCCGAGCAATCTCAGTTGGAGCACAATGCAATGAGGTTGGTGTACTTGGATCTTGCCAGCCGTCTTGACGTCCCGAAGTCTTTCAGGTACATTGATCAGCCGTGGTTCTACATGTACCGGACTGAAATTTACTCTGAGGAAGAATACATCGATTATTTGAACCGAAATCCTCAGCACAATCTTTTGTTGTCTTGCACTGGCGTTGACAACATTGCTGTTCATGATGCTGAACGGCATTTGAGGTGGATCAAGGGCCAAAATGAGGAGCTGTACAAGCAGAACGCTGCAGAGAAGAAGAAACAGTCTGACAGGGCTCGCGAGCAGAACGAGGCCAAGCGCAAAGCTGAGCAGACTGGAGCGTACGGCCAGGGTCCCTCCAAGAAAGGCACCGTTAATCCGGTTGCCCGAACATCCACCGTAGAGGTAGCCTCATCATCCACGTCAGCAAGTCAGTGGCTCAATCGCCCTCAGCAAAGTCATTCCCGTGATGATCGACAGTTCACCAACGAGTGGCAGAAGTGGCATGGGCGCTGGTACCAAAAGGTTATCAGGCATGGCCGAGTCGAATGGGAAGAGGGATAAATTTTGACACTGCTTGCATTGACGATCGATTTTTGTATATAGCCGCTGTACCTTGTATGTGTTTTCCTCAGGTCTGCAAAGAGCTGAAACGGTAAGGCAGGTCTTAAAGACCTCGCCCTGGTAAGTGGGCAGCCTTGCCGTAACCGGCTCACCTGAGGGGGGTGTATTTGCATCCCATGTAAAACACCATGTATTAAAGCTATACATTACAGCTGTGCGGCTCAGGCAAAAAGGGTTTGGGCCGCGGTGCTTAACGGTTGCTTTCCCACTTTAGGTTTATCAGTCTATTTGGGCGTAATAGGAATTACCCCTGCTGAAACCTGAAAATACAGAAACAATGGTAGAAACCTAGACGAATAGAGTGGAATAGGAGAGGATCAGAGGATAAACTAGAATTTGGTAGAAGGACATAGTATGAAATTTCATAGCATTAGATTGATCACATCGGATTTTCCAAGTCGCCATGCTCTTTAACCCCACCCGGGCCCCGTCCAGGAAATTGCAAGAAGAGCTGGAGCTGCTGAAGATGAAACTGGCGGCCGCGGAGAGGGAACTGGCCCAGATGCAGGAGCTGAAGGATGAGATCGAACGACTCAAGGCGCTGCTGCGGGAGAAAGACAAGAAGAAGCCAGCCGCGCCATGGCCCGAAGGGTCGACGATTGGGAGGTCTTGAAAATTCATAACCCAGCAACAACTGATCTGGTTGGTGGTGATTGGAACCATGGAATTTTATGACTTTCCCATCATATTGGGAATATATATATTTCCCAACTGACTCATGTTTTTCATGAGGGGTAGGTCAACCACCAACCAGTGATTTCAGGGGTTTGAGTTGAAGATTTTTCTCGGGTACCTGAAATTCATAGGGGACTCCCAAGAAATTTCACCAAGGTTAAGTACCAGCTGACATATTTTGGTTGGATGAACATCCATTTACCATCTGGTTATTTGTTACATAGCTATTGAAAATGACCCATAGAAATAGATGGTTTACCGAACTTAAAAATGGTGATTTTCCATGGCAAATTGTTAGTTTACCAGAGGGTACCAGCTCGTTTTCCTCCTATTTTGCTTGGGAATATCTTCTCTTCCCCCAGTTCTGCACGCTGAAGCCTAAGGATTGGTGTCTCCACCCCCAAATCCTTAGCTCAGTCGGTTTAGTGCACCATTATAGGGTTTATGGTAGACACAGACATATTGAACTAGTGAGTGGGTCTTGTACACTTTCAAACCTGTGGGGCAGCACCTGGTAGATTCCACTTTGTGAATCCCGTGATTATTTGGGAGTTAAACCCCAATGTTTGTTGATTAAATCGTCATTTATTGCGCCACACGAGCCTTACCTTGAGGAGAGTAAGCCGCGCAAGACCTTCGAAGACAAGTGTGTCGCTGGGTGTGCAAAAGCCTGGGGTTGTGCCCTGGGCCCTTTGTAGATTTTTAAAGGGTTTTTTCAGGCCATGTTTCTAGTTTGCAGGTCAAAGGATTTGTTTTTGGGGTTGTGACCCGATTTCAGAACTTCTTTCTGAGTTTTTCTTTAGGCAGTAGACCTCTGGATATCCCTGACGCTACCCCATATTGGTAGTTGTTTTCTAAATTATATTTAGGTGTATATACCAATTCTATCCACACTAGTTTTCTTGTATTGGTGAATCGTGTGATTTTTGTGACCCAAACCCTTCTAGCAACTGGTCAAAGGGCAAACATTTAAATGACCTCCCTTAACCGATAAGGCTTCATTGAGGGTCTATACTGACCGCCGACAGCCACAAGGTGGTGCCCAGGTTAGCTTTGTTGGTGAACATAACTCCAATTTCACTATGGTTTATGGTAGATATATCCATACTTGCTATGGTTTATAAACCAACTTATAACTGGGGGGCCACCACCTTGCAAAAAGAGAGGCTTACTATATGATTGACCATCTGTTCTTGAGGGAGGCGACTTGATGGCCGACCCAACCACTGCTCATACCAGAACGCCATGAAGTACGACACACTGTAATTCACCTATATATATATACAGCGAACACATGTGAATCACTTTTATGTAAGTGATTGACTGGCATTGAATATCACTATATATATATATACACAGCTGATAAAAATATTCTTTTATTGGTCAAGTACCTTAAAGAATTCATAGTTTTTTGGTTTATCTGAACATAGGGTACCCCAAAATTGATGGTTTCATATATATATACCCTCTGGTTATTTAACAGTTTGCCATGGGAAATGGCCCATTTATAGATGGTTTACCTATTAAAAATGGGGATTTTCCATGGCTATGTTAAATAACCAGATGGTATATATAACATTATGTTTCCTGTTAAATCTGCAACAACTTTGGGTATTAGGTGATTTTCAGACCAACCCATTTATCATGTTGTTGGTTAATCGTACTCCATTAGATACATCCCATTTGTTAATCCCCATTGTATATCTCCGTTATAATCCCCTATTTGTGTGGTCAAATACCATTAAATCCTCCAATCGATGAAATAGAAGTTATAGATCGTGTTGCTGGTCATGCATCCCATGTTAAATCCCGAGGGTTAATCCTCACTATGAAGAATTTTGTCCACCATGATCCATTCAATGGGAATTCAGGATCCTTAAATGGAGGTATATTCGGCTTATATATGGTAGATACCTCCAATGAATCGGTTCCTGAAGTGGTCAGTGATCCATATCCCCATGCTTTTGTGAAAACGAACATGATTTGGCTATCCCATTAGCATCCATTAGCACCCAATCCCCATTTAGTTCGCTGATGTTCCACCCTGCCGTCGGATTTCCAAGGTGGGCAACGGACCCGGCTGGAGCAAAGCGGAAGAACCAAAGCAGGAAGTGAAAAAGACCGAAAAGGTCCGAGAAAGGTGCGATGGCCCCGGGGATAACAGGGATAAACAGAGATGTATCCTTGCTCGGTCTAAAAGTTGGGATTTATAGTGGAAATAGCAATTGATTGGGTGCAGTTGGGCGTGATTTAAACGATAAAGATGAGGATTTCAATGGATTTGGATTTTAACATCAATATCACGGGGACATAAAATGGGGGTGTAATGGTTGTACTTGGAGAATCATCCCATGAATCATTGGTGAAAAACCATAGCTGTACCAGCTACAGCCCACAAGAACATTGGGATTCATAGAGTATTGATGATAGATACCCTCTGGTAAACTAACATAGCTATGGAAAATCCACCCATTTTCTAGCTGGGAAAATCCACTATTAATGGCCATTTTCAATAGCTATTTTGACATAACCAGAGGGTAAGCAGGTCTATAACTAGAGGTAAATTCAATCGGACATTCTTTGCCACTTGGAATCTGGCAAGATGACTCAGATGACAGTTCTCAACATGGATATAACGAGTGACCTCCGGTAATTTTAAACATAGCTATGCACATTTGTTGATTTCCAGGAGATTTACCTATTAACCATGATTACTTTCCATAGCTATGTTACGAAAGGCAGTCCGGAGGACTGACTCGTTGCTTTTTGCGACCGAAGGGAGAATAGGGGGTCTGGGGGCAGAGCCTCGTTTTCGGGCACGAAATCTCGCTGTACCCCTGCGCAGAGGGTGGTCCAGGGAAGCCGTTGTCAGGGTTATGTACCGTGTGGCAATTTGCTGACGGTGGGTATCGATTCCCCCCTGGTCCGTTGGGCGGGGTCGTTTTGGAGACTAGTTTCGGGGGAGTGTCTGGGTTAAGCGCCTTTATCATGATGGCGTAACCAGTGGCACATAATGGTATAAAATGTCCAATGAAATGACAAAGGATCTTGGGATGGTGGAAAGAATCGTCAATTTCTATTTGGCATTTGATCTGACATTCTATCTGGTAGTCTTTCTGACATTCTTTCTGACATTTTATCTGGCAGTCTATCTGGCATCCTACCTGGCATTCTTTGTGATATGGCCTATTTGCTGTTGCAAGCTCTTGTAGCGGCCAGATGATCACAGAGGTCGAAGGGTCGATTTGGTACAGATTTGGTGCAGATTTGGTGATGTTGGGATACCAAGGAATCTTTTTGGCTGATCAGTTGATCAAAAGAGGGAATGCTGCGTTGGGAAGCAAGAGGGATCACGCCTTTATCATGATGGCGTAACCAGTGGCACATAATGGTATATAATGTAAAATGTCTCCTGGGATGGTGGAAAGAATCGTCAATTTCTATTTGGCATTTGATCTGACATTCTATCTGGCAGTTTTTCTGACATTCTTTCTGACATTTTATCTGGCAGTCTATCTGGCATCCTACCTGGCATTCTTTGTGATATGGCCTATTTGCTGTTGCAAGCTCTTGTAGCGGCCAGATGATCACAGAGGTCGAGGGGTCGATTTGGTACAGATTTGGTGCAGATTTGGTGATGTTGGGATACCAAGGAATCTTTTTGGGTGATCAGTTGATCAAAAGAGGGAATGCTGCGTTGGGAAGCAAGAGGGATCACGCCTTTATCATGATGGCGTAACCAGTGGCACATAATGGTATATAATGTAAAATGTCCAATGAAATGACAAAGGATCCTGGGATGGTGGAAAGAATCGTCAATTTCTATTTGGCATTTGATCTGACATTCTATCTGGCAGTTTTTCTGACATTCTTTCTGACATTTTATCTGGCAGTCTATCTGGCATCCTACCTGGCATTCTTTGTGATATGGCCTATTTGCTGTTGCAAGCTCTTGTAGCGGCCAGATGATCACAGAGGTCGAGCGGTCGATTTGGTACAGATTTGGTGCAGATTTGGTGATGTTGGGATCCAGATTCTGGGTCTGTGCAGATGTGAAGTTTGGACCTCTGCTCACCTACTTTTTCCTTTCTTGGGGCATCTCACGCTACATCCTGAGTGTTACGGCAATACGCTGACAATCACCAGGATTGGTGCTAGGAAAACACCGGTGTCAGGCCATATATTTGGCCAGAGTTTGTGGGTGATCTGGGCGGGGAATTTCAGACAAATGTGGTTTTGGACCCGGAGGTCGTCTACCTGTTCCTGCACCAACTTGTGCCGCAAGCGGCGATTTGCACAAGTTGGACATCACATGACCATCGTTCCCTGTAGATCGGCAAACCTATCTATATGTGTATAAGTGTATGTATATATATATATTTACACATGTGTATACTAGTGTATACATATATATTATTATATACTCCATTACAGTAATTGAAATGAATGGTGGCACATTTTTATTTTGAAATGAGCAAAGGCACGGTGTTTCTTGAGCGAAGGTGGCAGTTACTGCGACCTACTACACTAATGGCGGCCAATGAAAGCCTCAAACTGTGAAGCCATGTGTTTGGCCTGTCGTGCCATTTTGAGGCCACTCAATGGCCATCAGTTCGGTCTTGCAACATCAAGTTCACTGACACCTCCAGCTGGAGCATGCGTGCAACCATGCACACCACACAAACAAATTTCTTCGAACGGTTCCGAGCACAATATTTTCTTTCAGCCAATATTTTCAGTTGCGCGCAGCTTGCCATGATGAGATCTGCAATGCATGCCGGATTCCGAGCCCTCGCAGGCAGATGGGAGTCTTAAGAGATCAAAACCACTGAACATCATCAAACATCTCATAGGAGGGTGATTTTATTGGAGAAAATGAGTAAGAAAACATAGGATGAACATCAAACATCTCTGCTTTGTGATCGTACAATGTCCCATGTGGCCGCAGCACCCTTTGCAGCGGTTTTGACTGGATATGATTCAAGATCTGAAACATTGACAGGGTGAACATGATGCAAAGGCCGCAGTCAGCACTTTGTTGTCACTACTTGCATATATGAATATGTACCTACATGTGTGTAGATTTGTGTAGACCAGTTTATGTATATTTATGCAGTGGATGGTCCCGTGAGTAGGCAATATCCCATGCACATCTTTCCACTTTTGGCGCCCAAAGCAGCGGGTGTTGCCGTTGGCCATGGCGTTGTGCCCGTTGACAGTGTTTGGAGGCTGCTCGGGAAGGGTTTTTTCTTCCACGATGGCTGAAGACAGGTGTGTCTACATGGTCATAGTGCATACGTATGGTGAGAATTGCAGCACGCTCGTTTTTGGATCTTATTAAACACGACAGCATTCGTGTTGTATTTTGGTGCTATCTCCTTTGTTGGCCGGGGTGCAGTCGCACACATTCCGTCAGGAAAGAGAAAGCGACCAATCACAGCGTTTGGAGGCTTTTCGATGCGGGCCTCAAATGGTGGTTGTCAACAGTGTCAAACAACGGAAAGGCAACTTTGGATGGCAGCCAGCTGTGTGGAAGCAGCCAGGTGGAGGGACGAAAGAGTCGTTGCCTTTGTCTCAGACTGCTGGTACCTCAATGCTGGAAAACATTATTCACAGTGTCAGTATGCGTCGTCTCAAGCATAACCAGATGGTTATTTCCTGGGCATGATGAATATATCGGGACTTTTTTTCCAGATTTGCTAGCAGGATCGTCCTCTGCTGAAGCTCTGTCCCAAGGCGTACAATGGATGGTGTTTGTTGGGGGTGAAATAGGAGCTCCTTCGAATAGTTTTGGGCCTTTGGTGAGTGTGCCCGTACACAAACAGGGCAAAGCAAAGCGGATGCCTCGTCCGCCAGCAACGAAGAGAGCGCAGGAGGCAGTATGTTTAGGAGTGGTTGATGATGCAAGTCTTGAACTGTTTTGCATCCAATGTGATTGATCTGACATACCGTGGGCCTTTCCTTGCTGCCCATTTTGTCCTTTGCTGTGTTGTTATGATGTTCGCTTTCCTGCAGTAAGGCAAACAATACTTGAACCGACCCTATGCATTATGGAATGTGGCTCCTCTTGTGAAGGCTGCGCCCGGGGTCCCAGCGTCTTCTTTGGTCGTGATGCCAGAAGAGGCGTCGGCTGGAAACACTAGCATGGGAGCAGTCGCAGAATGAGCTGTTGAAGATTATATATGTTGTAGTTTCGCAGGTTGCCGTCGCTGCATCCCATCTGCCAGCAACACCTATGGTGTTAGGCTTGATTCGGCGTCGTTTGACTGACGCAATTTCAAATCATTGTGGAGGCTTTTCGATGCGGGCCTCAAATGGTGGTTGTCAACAGTGTCAAACAACGGAAAGTCAACTTTGGATGGCAGCCAGCTGTGTGGAAGCAGCCAGGTGGAGGGACGAAAGAGTCGTTGCCTTTGTCTCAGACTGCTGGTACCTCAATGCTGGAAAACATTATTCACAGTGTCAGTATGTGTCGTCTCAAGCATAACCAGATGGTTATTTCCTGGGCATGATGAATATATCGGGACTTTTTTTTCCAGATTTGCTAGCAGGATCGTCCTCTGCTGAAGCTCTGTCCCAAGGCGTACAATGGATGGTGTTTGTTGGGGGTGAAATAGGAGCTCCTTCGAATAGTTTTGCGCCTTTGGTGAGTGTGCCCTTACACAAACAGGGCAAAGCAAAGCGGATGCCTCGTCCGCCAGCAGCGAAGAGAGCGCAGGAGGCAGTATGTTTAGGAGTGGTTGATGATGCAAGTCTTGAACTGTTTTGCATCCAATGTGATTGATCTAACATACCGTGGGCCTTTCCTTGCTGCCCATTTTGTCCTTTGCTGTGTTGTTATGATGTTCGCTTTCCTGCAGTAAGGCAAACAATACTTGAACCGACCCTATGCATTATGGAATGTGGCTCCTCTTGTGAAGGCTGCGCCCGGGGTCCCAGCGTCTTCTTTGGTCGTGATGCCAGAAGAGGCGTCGGCTGGAAACACTAGCATGGGAGCAGTCGCAGAATGAGCTGTTGAACATTATATATGTTGTGGTTTCGCAGGTTGCCGTCGCTGCATCCCATCTGCCAGCAACACCTATGGTGTTAGGCTTGATTCGGCGTCGTTTGACTGACGCAATTTCAAATCATTGTCATACTACATTTTTGCTCCTCACAAACTTTGCCCGAAATGGACGCCCTTTTCACTTTCACGCGTAGATATTCCAGGGGCCAATGCATTCTGGATATGTTCCAGGATCCGTACCTGCTGCTGCTCCGGTTGCCCAGGCCTGTTAGCATTACAGGCTATTGTACGAGAAAGGATGTTTGAGTGTCCCCTTACACAAGCAGGTCGAACCAAAGCCACCCCAAGAATGGATTAAGAATGGATTAAGAATTGATGGTTAAGGCTTCTCATATCTTATCATCATTTTAGAAATGGATGGTTTGATGGTCCGCATAACATGCCCTGCCCTTATCAGCAGACTGATGGCTGAATTGAAGCGCAGGACGCTGAGCCTCTGGAGAAAGGCAAAAGGAAAAGGGCCAAGAAGGCCGCCGCGCGCTTGAAGGCAGGAGCGAAAGCAGATTGACTGAGATTTTTGTTGGCGCAGATCATCAACGTGGTGGGTTTTAGAGCACATTGTAAACATGAAAGGTGAAAACTACAGGGGAACAGCGCCACTGGTCGCCTGGGTGAAAAATGTACGCCTTTCTTGTTTACACCACTAGAATTGCGGGGAGAGCAAAAAAGTAGCAAAATGGCCTCGGCAGAAATTACTGTTTTCTCTTCACTTTCTCTTATTCAAGTTTCGCCAGTGCCTTCAGGCAGGCGTTCGGCTTTGCACGGTGGAGACTTCGTCTCCAGACCCACTGATAACATCTTGTTATCAAGCGTGGGTTCATGGCGCTTTGACCCTGGTGTCTCTGCTTACGTAGCATCCACTTCATGGTGCAAGTCCAGGCAAAGCCATCCTTGACGTAGCATGCGCTTCATGACGTAAATTCAAGCGAATGTTAACATGCCCCACCCCACCCCACCCTATCCTTGACGTAGCATCCACTTCATGACGTGAGTACAAGCAAACGTTAACATGCCCCACCCCACCCCATCCTTGACGTAGCATCCACTTCATGACGTAAGTCCAGGCGAAGCCATTGCTTGACGTAGCATGCGCTTCATGACGTAAGTACAAGCGAACGTTAACATGCCCCACCCCACCCCACCCCAATCCACCCCAACCCACCGGAACAGCTGTTTTCACCAGGCGACAGACAGCGCTGTAGGCAACTACAGAGCTATTCATTTTTGTCGACTTAGAGTGGTGTTTTGTTGTAGGCCGTAAAGAAATTGATGCAAATGAAGAAGAAAGCTGCAAAGAAGGCAGAATCTGGTGACAGTTCAATTCAAGCTAGACAACGTAACCGGTGCCTCTTGAAGTTAATGAAAGGATGACACAAAAGGAGTTTTGCTTTCGAGAGATAGGGTCCCAGTTGCGCCTGGCCAATGTAAATTACTGAGTACAGCAGTGAGCGCATTCTCTGCTTCTTCTATACACATGGGTTACAGTTGTGGCTCCAGAGTGGATCCCGGGCGCAAACATGCCACGTCAGCCAGCAAAGAAAAGGCCGCGCCAGGCGAGCTGAGCGGATGTTGTTGGATAAGTTGGTATCTGAGGGTAGCAGATTTTCTTCTGCAGGATGCTCCGCGTGTCGCAGGAATCTCTCCAGAGGTGCGGTTTTGATTGGGTGTTTGTTATGCAGGGGCTTTGCTCATTTTACGAAGGCCACTTTGGCGTCTTTGTTGCCTTCCGTAGCTACGGCAGGCGAGAGTTCTGAATTCTGATGCCAGAGGAGTGTTTATCCATATGACTGTGGAGGATCTGGTCCGACTACTCCAGCATCTTCATCAGGCCTTTGGTTTTCTACCAGAAAGTCATTATGAGATTCTGGGCAATTGTGAAGGATCTGCCACTTTGGCTGCTTCAAGTTCCGAGGCACAGCAGATGGTTTCGTGCACCGTTTCATTTCATATTGTTTCAATCTATTACATTTCATTCTGGATACCCAGGGCTTGTACTGTTTGTACTTTCGGTAGACCTTCGGCTTATTTTTTCCTTTGAGGCTGTTGCTATGACGATCGACTTGGAGGCAGTTGGGCTCTGGATACTGAAACCAATCATATGCATTGCGGAGCTGTGTCTCCTCATATTGAGGCCTCGCCGGGAGTGCCAGAGTCTTCTGTGGTCCCGACAGCGGAAGAGGTGTCAGTGGGACACTGCATGAGAGCAGTCACAGAATGAGCTATTCAACATTGCAGTATGGTTTGGAAGGCGCCCGTCGCTGCATCCCCTTTGCCAGCAACACCCGTGGTGTTAGGCTTGATTCAGCGTCGTTGGACTGACGTGGTTTCACGCTGTCTGTCTGTGTCGTATCTGGTGTTTTTACATTGGCGGTTTATTTTCAGCTTGATGCGTTCCAGGATCGGTACCTGCTGCCCTATCACTTCCCCAGGCTTGATGTGTGTACTTACCACTTGCTATATGAGGAAGCATGTTTCTCATTGCTTCATATATGTTGCATAGAGCTTGTACTTCTGACTTGGATGCAAGATAACACCTGGTGCTTTTAAACGAAAATATGGACCGTGTGATGCTGTGTTGTTGAGGCGTTGCCTACAGTACCTGCGTCCGCTGTGACACCGACAGCGGAAGAGGTGTCGGTTAGAAAGCTTCATATATGTTGCATAGAGCTTGTACTTCTGACTTGGATGCAAGACAACACCTGGTGTTTTTAAACGAAAATATGGACCGTGGACTTTGATGTTGGTTGTTGCCTACAGTACTTGCGTCCGCTGTGGCACCGAGAGCGGAAGAGGTGTCGGTTAGAAAATGTGGGCATGGGAGCAACCACAGGAACCTGTTTTCAACATTGCATTGTGGTTCGGAAGGCCACTCTCAGTCCAACCCATCTGCCAGCAACACCTGCGGTGTTAGGCTCGATTTGGCGTGGTTTGACTGCTGTAGCTTGACGCTACCCATGTATGGCAATTTGATACCTGCCAGGATTATTGCCTGGTGCTCCATCAGTTCCTCAGGCCTGGTTAGTTCTCCTTCAAAGTACTTATATCAGAAGCAGGGGGGTGCATAACATATCGAACGAAAAGAAACGTTGGGAGGTTCGGTTCCTTTTTTGCTTTGAGGCTGTTGCTAGTCCGATCGATTTGAATGCAGTGGGGCTCCTGATGCTTCAATCGAACATATGCGCCACAGAACTTCGTCCCCTCGTGTTGAGGCTGCGCCGGGGGTGCCAGGGTCTGCTGTGGTGCTAACATCGGAAGAGGTGTCCGTGGGAAACACTAGCATGGGAGCAGTCACAGTATGAGTGGTCTAACATTGCATTGTGGTTTGGAAGGCGGCCGTCGCCACGTCCCCTCTTGGAGCGACATCTGTGGGATTAGGCTCGAATTGGCGTCGTTTGACTGGCGTGGTTTCACGCTGCCTGTGTCTGTCGTATTTGTTTTTTTTTCATTGACTGTTTATTTTCAGCTTGGTGCGTTCCAGGATCGGTCCCTGCTGCCCCATTACTTCCCCAGGCTTGGTGAGTCTACTTACCAGTTGTTATATATGAGGAAGCATATTTCTCATTGCTTTATGGATGTTGCATAGAGATTGTATTTCTGGCTTGGATGCAGTACAACTCCTGGGTTTTACACGAAAATATGGACTATGGACTTTGATGCCTTGTTCTTGAGGCATTGCCTACGGTACCTGCGTCCTCTGTGGTAGAAGAGGCGTCGGTTTGAAAATGTTGGCATGGGAGTAATCACAGAAAGATGTTTTCAACATTGCATTGTGGTTTGGAAGGTCGTTCTCGTTCCGGCCCATGTGCCAGCAACACCTGCGGTGTTAGGCTCGATTTTGCGTAGTTTGACTGGTGTAGCTTGGCGCTAGCCATGCCATAAATTTGATACCTTCCAGGATTGGTGCCTGGGGCTCCATCAGTTCCTGAGGCCTGGTGAGTCTTTATTAGAAATAGTTCTATGAGCGTCAGGCGGATCCATAAAATATCAAGCGAAAAGAAATGTAGGTGGTGCTATGTCTGGGTGACAATTCCAATGAGTTCCCTTGCATTAAGCGCACTGGGATGGGAGCAGTCACAGGATGAGTTGTTCAACATTGCATTATGGTTTGGAAGGCGCCCGTCGCTGCATCCCCTTTACCAGCAACACCCGTGGTGTTAGGCTTGATTCAGCGTCGTTGGACTGACGTGGTTTCACGCTGTCTGTTTGTGTCGTATCTGGTGTTTTTACATTGGCGGTTTATTTTCAGCTTGATGCGTTCCAGGATCGGTACCTGCTGCCCCATCACTTCCCCAGGCTTGGACAGTGTCTTTACCAGTTGTTATATATATGAGGAAACATGTTTCTCTTTGCTTGTACTTCTGACTTGGATGCAAGACAACACCTGGTGCTTTTAGACGAAAATATGGAGCATCGACTTTGCTGCGTTGCTGTTGAGGCGTTGTCTACGGGATCTGGATCCTCTGTAGCACCATCAGTGGAAGAGGTGTGCGTGGGAAACATCGGCATTTATACCAGAAAGCATGTTTCTCATTGCTTGATGATGTTACATAGAGATCGTATTTCTGACTTGGATGCAGTACGAAAACGAAATCATGGACTTTGGTGTCTGGTTGTTGAGGCATTTCCTACGGTATCTGGATCTTCTGTGGCGCCGACTGCGGAGGTGTCAATTAGAAAATGCTAGCACGGGAGTAATCAGAGAATAATGTTTCGGAAGGCCGCCCTCGTTGCAGCCCGTTTGCCAACACTGAGCGATAGCTCGAATCAGTCTTCTTGCATTGGGAGCATTGGCATAGGAGCAGTCACAGAATGTGCGGTTCAACATTGTATTGTGGCTTGGAAGGCAGCCGTCGCCACTCAAAGTGATAGCGCTAATCATTCTTCTTGCATTGGAAGCACTGGCATAGGAGCAGTCACGGAATGTGCGGTTCAACATTGTATTGTGGTTTGGAAGGCAGCCGTCGCCACAGCCCCTCTCGCAGCAGCACCTGTGGGGTTAGGCTCGGCTTGCCGTCATTTAACTGGCGTAGTTTGACACTGCCTGTTTCTGTGCTTGCTTTGGTAGGCGCTGTATTGTGCGATTTTTACATGGACTGTTTATTTGTCGGCTTGATACGTTCCAGGATCGGTGTCTGCTGCCCCATCACTTCACCAGGCTTGATGTATGTACTTACCACTTGTTATATGAGGAAGCATGTTTCTCATTGGTTCATGTATGTTGCATAGAGCTTGTACTTCTGACTTGGATGCAAGACAACACCCGGTGCTTTTAGACGAAAATATGGACCATGGACTTTGGTGCTTTGTTCTTGAGGCGTTGCCTACAGTACCTGCGTCCTCTGTGGCACCGACAGCCGAAGAGGTGTCGGTTAGACAATGTTGGCATGGGAGTAATCAGAGAATGATGTTTTCAACAGTGCATTGTGGTGCGGAAGGCCGCCCTTGTTGCACCCCGTTTGCCAACAACACCCGCGGTGTTAGGCTCGATTTGGTGTAGGTTGACTGGTGTAGGTGGACGCTACCATATGTATGTCAATGTGCTACCTTCCAGGATCCATGCCTACTGCTCCAGGAGTTCCTCAGGCATGGTTGATCTTTCTTAGAAGTGGTTATTTGAGAAGCAGACGGATCCATAGAGTATTAAACGGAACAAAACATAGGTGGTGCTGTGTCTGAATGATAGGTCCCACTAGTTTGCTTGCATTGGAAGGTCACGACGTCGCCGAGAAAGCGGGCATTGCGGCCTCAACGGGTTCAGGCGCCGATGGCTGGCCTGCTTGGTCACGGCGTGTCAGCGCGACAGGGGCTACATGTCCATGTTGCCCTCTTTCACCTTGGTTCCGCTGAGCTTCTCGCAGAGTCCTTTCCGGTTGAGCTTCTGGGCACTGGGCTGATGTGGTGCTGTGAGGATACCCAGAGTCCTTTGCTTCGTGGCCACAAGCTTCGTTGGGAAAGATACTTGGCCGAAGAGAACCTGACCGAATCGCAGCTCCGTGATGACTTCTTTGTCATTTGCAAGACAGGCGGACCGCCTGAATATCAGAAGTGTCTCACTGTGGCTGGCGATGTCTACCAAGCTTTGACGCTACTTGAAAATTTCTTTGCATTTGCATTTCGGCTTCCGGAGTTCATGGGTGTGCCCAATTCTCTGACCTACCACAATTCCAGTAGCATTGACATTGCCCCGTGGCTATCTGAGAGCGATCTCCCGAATAGCAGTATCGGAGAGAAGACGTACCCACTGTTGCAGCTGAAGAATTTCGTGCCGCCAGATTATCGACGCCCCACTCTGGAGATCCACCGGGAGCATGGCAATTTGGTCCAGTTAATTCTCGGTGGCAATCTGTGGCGCTGTCGACCGCTCTTGGGCAGTTTTCAATGTGGCTACAGGCATCGGGTGACGAAGCAGGAGTGTGAAAAAGGCCCAGACGCAGAGTTCGTTCGGTATTCAGAGGCATTTCCGCCTAAAGATTTACAGATGTGGCTGGGAAAATTGCCAGACACTTTGTTCTGGGTGGAAGGTGCCGATTCGGAGATCATGCAGACCTTACAAGCATTCCCTCTCCTGGTCACAGCCCGCAGTACTGCACGTCATGAAGGCTGATTGCCTCTGGCTGCAGTCGACCTGGGATGACAGGCATCTGTAGCACTTCACCATTTTCTACCAAATTCGATTCATCGTATCACATGACTTTAACTTTTTAGCTTGGGTGATAGAATTTTACATGGATGGCACACCGTTTGCAACATAGCATCGATTGTCTTAACTGTATGGAGCAGTATCCGTACTCAGCCAGTGGTGGTGTTGAGATTTTCAGAGATGAATGATTTTGCATGCTTGGCCTATGGTGTTCAGATGCACAGTCAGCGATGCAGTTGTTTGAAGATTTTGTTGCAACACTAGTTGCTTCCTATAGCGTCTGGATAGTGGACATCCGTAACGTTGTGCGGCCAACCATGTTGACAGTTGTTTGTTGATTCTACTGGATATGATCCACTAATCACATGGCTTCAACATTTGAGTTTTATATGACAGGATGTTGCATGGATGGCCACCAGTTTCGAATACGGCATTCATCATGTCAATGGCACGGGGCAGTCACACTGCCGGGCCAATGATGTTGTTTACAGTTGCACAGCTTGAGAAAAGTTGACGTAAAAGTGAATCATTGGAAAGTTTGGCCTAACAGATTGCAGATACGCTGCCAGTGATCAAGTTGGGTGGATAATTTGTTCCAGCAATGCGACAAAAAGCATTATGGGCGTTTGGTCAGAGAGTGGCTAGCCAATCAAAGATCATTATGTTCTTAAATAGTCCTCATATGGAACCGGGTCGAATCATTATCATAGCAAATTTTGCTGATTAAAAACTTTTCCCAAAATGGAAGCCCTTCGGCGCATGGGACATAAGTCGTAAGAAAGTATGTTGTGTATCTTCCAACGCTTCCGGATAGGTTGCATGCGTTATCCGCATTGTTTGGTTTTGAAAAGTTGTACAAGAATATACCGATTGTCTTTTGTCTCTAAAACCACTGGAACTATCCTAAAATTAAACAAAATTGAGTGGGTGGCCACAATCTCTGATCATTGATCGTGTCAATCGTATAGGGCAGTGGCACTGCAAGGCCAATGATGCTGTTTACATTCTCATACCTTGAGAAAAGTTGACATAGAAATGTAGATCGTGTGGCGTGCACGGCCTGACAGTTTGCAGATACACTGCCAGTGATGAGAGTGTATGGAGACTTTCCAATGATTGTACAGAGGCCATTGCTGCTCGTTTGGTCGCAGTCATGCGCGTCGGATCCAGACAAAACAGTCATGAAGGAACACTGTTCTCCTAAATCCTCTTCAGGTGAAACCATGTCGAATCATTATCGTAGCAACGTTTTGCTGGTGAGAAACTTTTCCCGAAACGGAAGCCTTTAAGTAGCATGAAATATAAGGCTTGAAAGCTTGTGTTGCATATCGTTCAACGTTTCGGGATCGGCTGAATGACAAAATGTCCGATTTATTTGGGCCTGCAAATTAGTGGAGGCATGTATGGTTTGTGTTGTGTCGTCAGATAGAGCTGTGCTTACTTTGCAACAATCCTACTTGAACTATCCTAAAATTGAATCCAGTTGACAGGCTTCGAGTAAGAGCGAAGCCGTGAAGGTCGAAGTGAAACCTAAGGTGCCTCTCATGTTGGACATGCAGAATCTGTACGATCGCAAAACAGTTGCGAACGAACAGCGTAGATCACTATGTTCCCTTCAGCTTACCTGTGAGACTGATGCTTTGTTTCCATGCTATGATGATAGCATTTCTTCGATACCATGTTCATTTCAAAGGTCCATTCAATCAAGCAACTGCTCTTGTTGTTGTGTATGCCCACTGGAACCGAAGTCGAGGTTGGCCTGCCCAATGCATCGCTCGGTTCTGTGGATGCTATCAGCTTAGCTCTCGAGAAGTCACAGTATGCCGAACAACGTTGATTCTGGTCATGATTGCAAGGTATTCATTGTATAGCATTTCATGCTTGAGCAAGGCCTGGAAACAATTTTGTGAAGATCACGCGGCAGGCCACTATGACGTAGCCAGCAAGAGTGGCGAGTTCTTGCGGAAGTTTTTGACGGCGACGCTGCCGGATGATTTACAGTAGTTGCAATTGCATTCTATTATCTATGCGCTTGGATAAGAATATCCAAACTGCAGCATTTCTCGTGTCGACCGTACAGAGCAGTGGCACTGCGGCACCAATACTGTTGCTTACAGCTTCAGACCTGCAGAAAATTTGAAGCAGAGATGCATCATTTTGCTTATATGGCCTGACAGTTTGCAGATACGCTGTAACGAGTCAACTTGTGCAGAAGATTTGCTCCAGTCGCGCTACAAAAGGCACTGGTGCGCGCTTGGGTGCAATCATATGAGTCTGATCTGAACAGAACAGTCCTGCATCGTCTTCATATAGAACCATATTGAATTATTATAAAAGAAGCCTTTTGGTTGGTAAAACTTGTCCCGCCATGCAAGCTTTGCGTGTTGATGAGCACAAATCATCACTATGGTCCACATGGAATCGTGTAGGATCAGTGTCAGATCAGCCTTTAAATTGAAAGCTCCTCAGCTGAATTGTTTAGACCTATGAGTGAAGGCATGCATTGGTTGTAGTTTCTGTCCAGCTGAATTGTGTGTTAACTCTGCAACGAAGCTGCTTCAACCCAAAGGATATTGGCCACTCTCCTCACATGCAGGATGGATGGCTTAATCGTGTCCTTCCGGTGATGACGGGTTGACTTAATCAGCTGGCTACGACATGTTCAGAACCAAAGATGTCCTGAGTAAGAGATGCTGATGAAGGCAAGCATTGCAGAGGTTCTAATATATGACAGTGGAATCGTGTAATCTTTCAGACTGTCTAAAAGGTATTCCTGGTCGCCATGAGTGGCGGGAACAAAGCTCGCGACGCGCGGCGCGCGAAGGCGCGAGCTGTCCGAAAGAGAGGCCAAGAGAAGGCAATCCAGTCGCTGATCAGAGGTGCGAGAGATCAAGGACCATGCTGATGTCAACTTACACATTGATCATTGAGTACCACTTCCTTCAATTTACAAACACATCTCCACAAGCACATGAAGAAATGCGATGCGCATCATTGCACCACTGAGACCTGTCTGGCCGCTCTTGCCAGGAGGGCTATCCATTCGATCCTTCAAGGAGAAGAAAATCAGCTGGCGGGTGAGAGAAGCCCACGCTGAGCAGCTGAGAGTTGCAAAGGCATCACTGCCTGCCGCCCAACGCGAGGCGCGAGGTGCAGCTGATCCTTATAGCTGCCACAAATATATGTGCAGTCGCATTGCAGCTCTGCACATATGTTTTGATACCTTAGAATGAATGAGGCTAGCAAATTGGTAAACAATAGTTGTAGTGTTTGATGCTGGTCAGATGAGCATGGATGGATGCGTCATACTTGGGTAGCTTTCTTCACATTACTCCTCCTCCAGGCGCGAACTGTTGGGCAGCAATATCTGGCTCGCTTCTACAGTTCCATCGTTTCTCGGCTGACTTTGCTGCGGAACTTGATGGCCACACGGCAGCAAGATTCACAACAGACGCTGATATGGTAATTACCCTGTTGCATCTGACTGGCATAAGACAATTTGCAACATTTCTTCGGCGTAGCGCCTTGCAGTACTATCGTTATTTTGGTCAGAGGTCTTCACAGATCATCATGACATGAATCGTCCTAAGGATCCAAGGAAGAAGTCGTATTACAAGCTTAGTAGCCAAACATTCCGTCTCTTCGAAGGAAGGCAATGCTCCCAATACCTGCATACCGGATGTAGACTACGACCTCATGTCGACCAGACGGCTCTGTAACGTATCTAGGCAGTTTCAGTGGGTAGAACATTGTATATAACCATGTCCAGTGCTACAGCTAGCTAGTGGTTGAGGATGGCACACATTTCTCGATTCATGTTGATATATTTATGCTCGAACATGATTGGAAAGGAATTCTCATCAATTGTTGATGGTGAATCTTCTGTCTTGATTTGTAATTCTGCTATCCCAGCGTTTCTCAGGCACTGCGTGAACTTGACGCTACGTCAAGGTACACGCTTCGTCGCGCAGCCGGTTTGAACATCCCGGACGCTCTGGCGGTCCTTGTTGTGGTCCGTTTCGTTTGCGTCACCAAGGCTGGGGAGGGGCGCGGCCCCAATTGAGTAGACGTAAGTAGACAAGTGCTCAAACAACAGTGGTCCATCCCGTTGATTCGGAACGGCAAGATTTGGCTTCAGATGCCATCGCAGGCGAACTTCCAGTTCCTCGAAAAGCGAATGGGTGAGGCAATCACAGCAAAGGCCATTGAGCGTGTGATTTGGATGCTCCCGATTCTGGTGGCTGAGAAGGGGCAGCCAACCAGTTACAGGCCATAGTTTAGAACACGATGGGGAAATGGCCCTGCATTGTCTATCAGCAGACAGGGCCTAGTCACGTTACTCAACCCATGTGCCACGTGCAGGCCGTATGGGCGCGGCATTGGTCATGACGTGTTCATCGCCCGAGCCACGACGACCTTGCGCAGCTTCGCGCTTGCCCTGCAAACTGGCACTGTGGCTCTTTTCCTAGCTATCACTGGATGCAAATTTTCTGCCTATCAGGCGCGCGTGGATTTCACGCTTGGCGCGTGAAGGCATGATGTCGTTCACTTCTGTTGTCCTCAGTGGTAACGAAATGTTGTTCACATCTTTGGGAAAGAAACACACCACCGCTTTTACCAGCAACGCTAGTCGATGCATTCCGGGGATACTTCGGATAGGAACCAACTTGCTCCGGCTGCAGGTAGAATTGGATAGCCATTTCCTGTGGGATAGCAATGTCCGTGGACACGTGGGGACTGGTGCCACAGTGGGGAAACGCAAGGTGACCCAGACGGAATTGAAGCCTCTCGGCCTATAAGCATGCATAGTGGCATGGTTCCCCTATGTCCACTAGCTGTTCCATCGTTCATGTTCAATGTCACTGTAAAGTGCTCTTGAATTTGTTCGGCGAATAGTTGTTGATCACGGTCTCCTACATGGTAGGTGGCTTGCTTCACAAGGGCGCCGCAGAAAAGATTTCATCGACGCTCTCACTGCGCTGGACATTCCTCTAACTGTGTGGACGCCAGACTGTTGCGAATTCTGGGTCTGTGAGCTGCGCCTCCTGGTTGCATTGCATTTGACGTCATGCAGCGCCACACACTCAAGACAATGTTGCATGCTACGGAGCATGATGCCGACGCGGTAGCGTCAGTGCCGACAAGGTATGTAAGCCTATAAGAAAAATGCATCTGCGATAATGTTCCCGATTCTTCCCTTATTGGAAAAAAACCTGACAGTGAGATACCATGGAAGCAATGCCCACTTCAAAAAAATAGTTACTACCTCAATGTACGTGCTGTCCGCTCTCCAGCACCATAGTCAATAGTCAAAACAATCACCCCATTTCTGTTGCTTCTACAACCCTCATATCAGTCAGACTCAAAACTTCCACACTTGAGACTTTCCACTAAAACTTCGTTTTTGGCTGTCACACTCCCAGCAACGGCAGTATCTGAGGGAAGTGGATGGCACCTAAAAAAAGGAGACGGCACGAAATCCGGAAGCTGTCGCGAGCCGACAAACTGGACATGCGTTGGATCATCCGTCACTACACGATGCAACCCACTGCCATACGGAAAAGAGAGTTCCGATGGTGTCTTGGCGGAACGAAGCAGTCGAAACGGGCTTATGAGGTCAATAAGTATCAAAACGTTGACATTGACTAAGCGCCGTCACGAATCGTTATGTTGTCTATCATAAGGCTTCCAGTTTGGGAAAAGTTTTTCCGCTCTGTTGCAGCTCCTCGATGGATGTTCACTTGGGTCCTGTCTTTATATATAGTTCGGTACTGTTTCCTATCGTAACACCAGCTGGGCAGAAGACTTGTCCGTGAAATTTTGTGTTCTCAGCGTTATCACTTCAAGTTATCATTTTGTTCTCAGGTATTGGTCACGCGCTGATACCCAAGAGTGAGACGTCATGGTTCCTTGACTGCACCATGTCAAACGGTTGGAGGGCTTGGCGTGTGGTCTTGAATCACGATGGCCGGAATATATCGATTATCAGCATCATTAGCCTGCGGATGTTTCACGAGATAGATGAGTATAACACGACTGACATTGCATTGAGTCACCGCCATGTGAATCCGTTTATTGTCTACCATGAGGCTTCCATTTTGGGAAAAGTTTTTCCGTCCTAGATCTGCAGCAGAAGTGCCACGACTGCAGGATCTATGGTTACACCGGTTGAAGAGCCTTCATGATCATGCTGTTCTCTGCATTGTTGGGAGTCATTGGCATGTTCTTAGCCCCTTGGCTTATTGGTGTCAAGATGACATAGTCCGACTCTTGCGTTGGGATGTTGCCAAATCACTGGGGTACTGATTGGATTGGGCTGGGGAGCACCAAGCAGTTCACAGTGACTTGGATGCTCACGATATGCCGAAGCAGTTCAAGCATCCCTTGCTTGTCTTCATCGAGGGAGATGCAACTTGGCACGGTGGTTGGTTCCAGCATCCACCAGCTGTCCTGCAGCTCAGGCTACGGCCCTCACACGAATTATGTGGAGCAACAGAGACTTATTGAACATCACTATGGAAATCCCTGGCAGGCAGCTGGCATCAGCTGGCAGTTCTCCCATGTTTCATGTGGATTTTGGTGGTTTGGAAGGTCACCCCAGAACTTGTCAGCTGCAGGCTGAGCCCGAGATCGGCCAAACTTCCTGAGCGCCCAAACCACCCAATCTCTGGGCTAAACTCTGGGCCAATGGTTCGGACCCATAGCAGGGATGGTGCCGCCAATAGTTCACGAAAGTCAAGCATATCAGCATGTCAGTATGTCAGCATGTCTTCAAATCTCTTGAAATACTGAACTTCATCCAAGCTGATCACTTGGATCGGCTGTTCGCAGGGTACCTTTCAGCGCCGTTTGCAGCGACCTTTTGCTTATCAGGCGTTAGGCCACACCTTTTGCAGTGTTACTGGTCAGCCCATGTATTTGGCATGGGAACTGGACACAAAAGTTGACCAGTCACGACCTTACTGCGTTGCTGTAGAGCTTGGGCGTTCCTCCACGGACTTAAACAAAGAATCCGTGGATGGTGGGGGAGTTCAACGAGCCCGCAGTTCAAAGTCCATTCATTGTTGGCCTGTACCATGTCTTATGCAAGGGTATAACAATGGCACATGTGCACTGTATATTTAAGATAAGGAACGGCTATTTTGATATTTGTGTAGTCCATAAACCCGCAAAGATGATCATTTCGAAGCTGCCATGGCTTCAACGGTTGGGGGTCCAACCCCTTGATGGAATCTGGCAGGTACTGCGGAGGTGCTCCGAGACGATCGCTTTTCATTTCCGAGGCTGGTACCAGGAGATGCGGAGACCATCACTTCCGCCTCATTGGAGTTTTCGAATGATTTCACGACATCAGATCTCTACGGATATCCCCCAATTAGATGATTTCTATCCTATCCATAAAACCATCTATTTGGGGACACTATAGGGATATCTTGAAACTGCATATCACATCTTATCACCAAGCAGCATCCATTGGGACTCAGATCTACACAGGATCTTTTGGGCGCCCGAGCTTTTTGCCAAAAACTATGGCCTCAAGGCCGGGAGCTGCTCTCGTCCTTTGTAACCGGCAACTCTAGAGGTATGGTCATGTAAATAAGAAGGGGTTGTGGAATAGCCCAAGATATTAAATATTACCTTTGGTCGGCGTTGATATTGTTGCAGGATGGGCTACAGATTTCAAACAGTCCATTTCTAGTGGAGAAGGATGATTGGTCAGGATAGATGGGCCGGTTTTTGTCGGGCTCCTAAATGGGATATAAAGCATACTAAAACCATGTGCGAGACGGGAGCTACCAGATGCTCTCAGCCACAGAATTACGACATTGACATTGCCAAATTTGGCATTGGTGAGGCGGGAAGCTAACCAGAGTATTCACGTCGCTTCGCGACGGCAACCGCCCGCACCGCATCGTTGGGCTCACACAGCAGAGATATATCTATATATATAAAGATCATATATGTACATATCGAGTGAACGGTCCACACTGTTAATGATGTCAGCCATTGTTCTCTTCTACTGCCATTGTTCTCTTCTATTGCCGTCGCTCCGCGACAAGAACCCCTGTGCGGCCGCCACGGTTTGAACGATGTTGTTCTCACACCTTCGCGACCGCTCGTAACTGCCAATGATGTCGGCCATTGAGACCAAAAACATCCGAAAGTACTGATTGTCGGAAAAAAAACGCGAAGAATTTGATAGCCATGTATAGCGGACCAACGCAGTTCAAAAAATAGCGAAAAACATGAAAAAACGGCGAAATTGCTGTTATTTACAGTGTTTTTGCGCGGTGAGAAGCAGAAACCACTGCAAATACCATGGTTTTTGAGGGTCAGGTGGCCAAAAACACTGTAATTTACAGTGTTTTTTTAACCAACGTCAAAAAACACTGGTATTTACGATGTTTTCATTCACACCGTAACATAAAACAGCGTAATTTACGAGGTTTTTGGAAGTTTTGAAGCTAGCCGTCAAGCATGCAGAAAACAGAAAAACACTGTAAAAACCAGTGTTTCTGCTATCACAAAACGACGAAAATCAGTCCGAAAACGGGTCCAAAAACTCAAAAATCCGCCTCCGGGCCAGGCCACCTGCGGAACCGCAAAAAAAGATGTTGCAAACCAAAAAATTGAGGTCAAAAAGTTGAAAAACACGGGTTTTTTTCACTTTTCGCTTGCCGATTTTGGACGGGCGCGTTCACGAACAGGTGTCTTCCGTACTGTTTTTTACAGTGTTTTTTGAAGGCGAGCGTCACGACCTATCAAAAACAGGAGGTTTTGGCCGAATAATGGGCCCCCCCCCCCAGGTAAACCTGCAACCTTTTACGAGTGCCATCCGGACGATCACGCCCCAGCACCTTCGGTGCGGGCGGATTTTAGAGGACCACTCACGCAGAGTTAATTTCTTAATCTCAGCCACTCATGGGGACATGTCAGAGATGTCGAACTTATGTACGGCAACAGGACTCTGCAATGCAAAGAGATGCCACAGCAAAAATATTTCACAATCGCGCCAGATCTATGTCCGCTTCTGCAGCAGCTAGCTTTCACTTGCTTTCCACTCACTCCATTACATGTCCACTGTCCATTCACACCAGAATCTGCTCTCCACTCCCGCCATTCTTATCTCTAATATTTCATTGCTCACCACTCTACATCAGTCATACTGAACTCAACGTTGCCCCAACTTCATCTGATCTTTTTCAGCAGACAAAGCTTGACTCATTTTTCATTGCCACAGATGTCTGCCGAAACTCAGCGAGTTCAAGCTCGGTTTCGCTACAGGGGTCACAGATACAACTGTGACTTCCGCCCCGGCGACAACAGCGTCGCCTTGCTTGCTCGCCTGAACGCAATCAGAGATTTTCTTCGCGTCCAACCTGAAATCCAGAATGAGGTCTTCTCCGTACCCGACTTTGAGTTTCTCTGGCATGCAGCTTCAATTTCCGTCAAAGATTATCCCACCTCAAATGGTGTGATTAATATAGAGAGTCAAAGGATCAAGGCACCTGCTTTTCCTGCCGGGAACTTTCGATGGCACCGCTCCAACATTCCACGCTACCAGTACTTCGCTGAAGTGTTTCTATTCCTCCGACGTCGTTACTCTCTCATCACAGTCCCTAACGTAGCAGAAGCACGACAGATCCTCTCCCAACCATGTGACCTTCACTGGAAAATGTGTGAATATGCCGCTCATCCTTGGTTCTCCTTGGTTTTGGGGCCACGCCTAGATTTCTTCGCGCAGACTGTCGAACTGTTGCAGCAAACATCTTGTTTCCAACAACAAGCCTGGTCGACGGATGCCTTCCATGATCTATGGCAAACGATTCAAGAGATCTCAGGTACCCATGCAAACCAGATCACACTACTGCGCCGCTATCAAGACCAACGGTGGCGACGAACAATTCCAGCACATCTACTCATCGTCACAGCAGAACTACTGCATTACTTGGCTACTCGACCTGTGATGCCCTAGACAAATTTTTACATTGTTTCGATGTTTGTATGCAATACCCTGCAGAGCAATGGGATTTCTGGTGCCGATCTTCAGCAGAACGTCTTGCAGTCCTAGCAACAGCAGCTGCTACCACCGCTTCAGAACCGACATTCTATTCCACAGATGTACAACCAGCCGCAAATTCCACTGCTCGCTCTCGGCGCCTGGCAGAATCTGCTCAAAAGTGGCCTTCAGCTATTCCAGCTTCCATACTCCTGGCGCATGCAAAGGAATACCATGAGCAGTTTCATCAGTGTTTACAACCACCCCGCCTCTGCGGCATCTGCGCGTGCCCAATCTGGGACATGACCTGCGAACTGCTGGACTTCCGCGCCCCACCATGCGACCTTGCTCAGCTGCATCCCCTACTTTCTGGAACTCTTTTCCTCAAAGAATTTGCCAACTATGCCACTCTCGATGTACCACCAGCTTTCCGTGGCCTAACACTCCAACGACTACAAGAATTCTTCGTACCTGCTCCTATAGAGGTCAATCCTGATGCATCTGCTTCTTACCTACCAAATCTACATATGTTCCTTTTTTCTGCCAATAACAGTTCCCAACAAAATCGGTCGGTCATCAGATTCCTTTCCTGTCAAATCTGCATATATTTCCTTTTTTTTGCCAGTCAGAGTTCCCGGCGCGAGTTTTCGGTTATTACTTTTGCCTCAGGACGTTTGGCTCCTGCACCTTGCGCCAGATGCTCAAGAAACATGGAAAATCGCAACATTCGATCCAACTGCCTCATTGCAGTGCCTGGCATGTGTCCCGTGTGCTCGGTCTTTCCGCAAAGCGTCGCCCACCTTGCCTCCATCTGCATTAGCCAACAACAATCTCTGTCTACCAGCACCAGAGGAACTCCAGTCATTGTCCTTTGGGGAACAACTTTTCATTGCACGAGGGTTTGCTGTCCGTCGGCTCCGCACATTGACTCCTTCTGGTGACCCAGAAGCACGCCAACAAGGCATGCTTGGCACTACCAGTGCCATCGCATTCCCGCAGAATGCCGCTACAATTTTTTCACAACTTCCAGTCTCTGCAGCGCAGGTCTCTGACTACCTGAGTGTCTTCTTCACAGATGCATTGCAAAGCAACTTGCATTTCTCCAAGGAGTTCGTCGTGAGACGCAGCGCAGTCCATCGCGCTCTGCTCTGGCTCACGCAACACAACCCTTACTATGCTGACATCACCATTGACATGTCATCCTTGCAAGACCTTCCTGCTAACGGTGTGCCACCAGCCTGGGCTGCTCTTGCTCAAGTCAGCCAAGAATCTTTGACCAGGGAATTTGGTCCAGTTGACGCATCTACTGCTGGTGGAACAGATTCCGCAATTCATGCTGCTGTTCTTGACCCTGGCGTCGACCACACAGACCCTTTGCAACTTTGGAATACTGCTCTGCTAGCTTGCGAGCGCTACGAGCGTCATGCCACCTCCAATGCTGTTTCTGCCACTGCTGATGTTCACGTAGTACAATACGCTCTTCGATCCCTGGCCTCCAGCAGCAACCATCGCATTTTCGAACAGGATCTCATCCATCAGACCCGGCCCGCCCAAAGCAAAGAAAAGCTCTATGTCGTTGTCCCCCATGCCGACGAACCGCTTAACAGTTACGACCCTTTCTTCTGGACGGCATGTTTCCCACTGCAATTCCCATACGGAGATGGTATTGATGGCCAACCACGTCGAACATATCTCTCTGATCATGACTGGGGAAAACTTTTGCTCCTACGACGTGATCGGCCCGTTCAGCTTCATCCGAGAAAAGATTTGGATTTCATTTCTGTTCTCTTTTCTGTGCTGCATAGACGCCGTCTCCTTCGCGCAGTTCGCATACGAGTCCAAGCCCCACATTTCCGAGAGCAACTCCCTTCCTTTGTCAACCTTCAAGCTACTGACTGGACGCAAGTAGCAAGCACTGTCGGAGAGTACCTTCTCTGCAGCAATGGTTTTCACTAGCATCCATTTTTCCCTCCATATTCACTACCTTTACTCCCTTTACAATCTTTACATACATACATGATCAATATAATTCCTCATTCCTTCCTTTCACTTGCTATCTGCCTTCTTCGACTTTCTACCATCTACAACTTGTCATGCTACCGAACAACTCCTTTGTCTGCTCAGGCATGGCTCCATCCCTGATGCATTGCGCTCTCATGACATTCCAAATGCCATGAAAGCCATCCTTCGCTGCTTGCAAGCAGTGCAAGGACAAATTCCCTGCACGGACGCAGCTCGACGCATGATGCGTGGTGAACTGACTTCTCTCATCACTTATTTTGGTTGTCCTTCACTATTTGTTACGTTCAATCCTGCTGACGTCTTGCATCCCTTTACCTGGCGACGTGGTTTGACAACACCTACCACACCATTACCACAGGTGCAACTTGATCAGCATCTTTTGTGTGCCCTCCGTGACGCCAATCTGTGGCGAATGGTCGCGCTTGATCCGACGGCAGCAGTCGAAGCTTTCCATCTACATGTCAACACTTTCCTCTCCACGTTATTGAAAGTGGTTCCATCCGCCCAGCAGCTTCCAACAGATGGCATTGCTTCCATTGACGGGCAAGGCATCTTCGGTCCACTTAGCGCAGCTTTTGGTGTAATCGAACCACAGCAAAGAGGCAGCCTACATATTCATTTCCTCTTGTTCTGTTACGGCTTCCAGGACCCCCATGTCTTAGTGCAAAACTTTGCTGCGCAACTCCCTCTTCTAGAAGAGCGACTTTGGGCATGGATCAACTCCATCGTCGTCACATCCTTCGAAGCCATCCCCCCTATGTTTGACTTGCCACGCTCAACGTTGGAAAACTTACGGCCCTTGCCATATTCCGATGCACAGATGAAGCTCATGCATCCACACTACCGGCCACACCTCGTCGCTGCCAGCGATCATTGGTTTGCGGCTGACCCCATCAATTTCCTGTATGCCCATGATTTCATCGACTGCCCATTTGCTCTCGACATGCCTGTGCAAAAGCCTTTTGTTCCTTGGTGCTTGGACTACCTTGCAACCACAATCGCCCCACTGCACACAGACACTGCATCCATGCTCCTCTACGATCTACGTGCTTCTGTGCTTTACAGCGGTCTTCTTCACTGCTGCCAACCAAAGACGTGTTACAAGGGCAAAATTGGAAAGAGAGGCTATTGTAGGCTATCTTTCTGGCATTGGCTACCTCTTGGCTTTCATGTCTGGGAACGTTGTCACGGTATTGAGCTTTGCCCCAAGCCTCTGCTTGGAACCAAGCCACCTCACATCGACGCATTTCAAACAGAACGGCACCATCAGTTCTTCGGTCGCATGAACCCTATCATACTGGCTACTTGCAAATGCAACCATGACATCTCCACCCTTCTACGTTTTCCAGCCGACTACCTCCAATCACCCAATCCTGCTGCATTGATTCGCCGACGGATGGCTCAGAACATGTCCACCTTGGTGTTTTATGTCAGTTGCTACACTACAAAGACACAACCCCACCTGGCTTCCTTGTGGACCTTACTTCATACCGCAACACACAAACTGCAGCAAGACCTCGGCGCAGCTCATGCAGGCATGGACCACAAAGCTCGAGCACGCTCAACCCTGTCCAAATTGCTGATGTCCTGCCAACGGCGTATACACAAGTCAGTCCAAGAAATGATTTCTTACCTGTTGGGCTACCCAGAGGCTTATTCTACACATTCCTTCCACAAACTCTACTTCTACCATCTGGCTGCTCGACTCGAGAGCTCCGAACCGTTTGATGGCTCACACCTCGCTTCCGTCGAAGCCGCAACGCCATCTTCAGTTCTCATCTTCCCTGAAGAAAGCATTCAAGCTTGCTCTGACACCAACAACCACTTCAGACAGCCTCAGTTCTATACTCCCTCCAGTGATGATTATCCTTTTCGCGGCGACGATCTACAAGGTTGGCCCCTCTACTTCTACGCAGCTGGTGTCACACGCATTCCGACATCCAAAACAACATTCAAAACTCCCGGAAACATTCCCTTCCTACCGCAGCATCCACGCGCAACTTCGCTTCGACAGCAAGTCTTGACAGCAACTGCCTGGAAAATACCACATTTGATGGGACCGCGAATTCCACCGGTTACAGAAGATGCCAACAAACGCGGTCTCTTACTTTTGCTTCTGTTCAAGCCTTGGGTTGATCTCCACCAATTGCTTCCCAGCTCTGTCGGCTGCGCCAGCTGGTCCGAAGCCTTTGACACTTGGTTTGCTGGTCTCCTTGCTTCACTACCATCACCTTCTACACGTGCTTCCCCCTTGAGTGCTGAATATTGGGCACAACGTACACTGCATATCATCAACCACATCGACAACATGGGGCTCTCTGACCCCACAACTGCTGATCGCGAACTCCGTTGCAATCCTGATGAATTGCACGGCGTCCCCGACACCACAACCGTGGAACATGGTCCACCTCCTGGGCAACTTGATTCCGACTCTGACGTCAGCTGCGATCAAACCTACGACATAGACTACGGCGACCTGGATCCACACGATTTTCCCGATGAGGCGCCTTAAAGGAATCACTTTGCTTCCTGTCAACTATGGGAACAATTTCCCTTCCATACTTCTTGGAAAGACATCCCAAATAGCGTTCCGGAGCCTATTCCTTTTCAAGCTTCTACCTTCCGCTCCTTTTCTCTAACCCCGGAATTATATAATATAAATCCCCCTCATGCAATATCTATAAGTTTGAGGAGGTCAACGTCTCTAGGTTGATCACTATAAAATTGCTGACAACAACCCTTTGACTTAATTCAACGGGGGATTCATATAACATATCCACGACTGTGGCACCTATCCCATCGCAACTTTTACGCTAGGCCTCAGCTTCAGCTTCAATTCGAACTTCACCATCATTTGCAGCAACGTGGGACATTCTACTGCCACTGTCCCGTTCCGAATTATGGCCTCTTCCACCAGCCTCCGCAAGCTTCGTCATTCTCTTCCGCATACTCGATGACGCAATTGTGGGCACGCAATCTTACTCACCATGTGATCCTGCCGACGTTTATCATGGCTGGCCTTTTCCATCTCATCTTTCACTGCGTCAACTGCAACGCGATGAGAAAACGTGGGACCCAGCATTGCCTACTCCACCACCCTCGCAATCGCATCCTGCGGGCAGCAATTTCCCTCAGCCTCCTTTCCCAAAAACAGAAACAACTGTTTTCGATCGCATCACCGCATGGATCCAAGACGGCCGATGCTCCAACTCCGTTGGCGCCATCAACTTGAAACAAGCCGCCTACTTGCTCTTGGTTGGAGCCTGGCTGCAAGCCACACTGAATCGTGCTTGGGGGTTTACTACTGCCCTTCCACCATTTCAGGCATCGTTGCTTCTCGGCGGGCCAGGAACTGGCAAAACTTTCATCACCAACTGCGCCGCCGACCTCTTGCACTTCTTTCTGCCTTCTTCCACCCTGCAGGCTGCTTTCACTCATCGGGCCGCACGTCTAGTCGCAGGACAAACTCTGCACGCCGCTTTGGCCTTACCTTTTGATTTCAGCACTGCTTCGGCATCAGCAATTTCTTCCCTTGGTTCCCAGAAAGATGCATTGATTAGCCTCTGGCACAAAGTCACAACATTTTTCATCGACGAGGTGTCCATGATCTCCAACGAAATCCTAGCATTCATCGATCTGCGCTGTCGCCAAATATTCAATTTACATACTACTCCATGGGGAGGTCTTGCTCTGCGATTAGATGGTGACTTTCACCAACTTCCTCCAATCGGTGCTTCCTGCCTGATCAACCCACCACGTGCCACTCAACCAGACGCATCAACACCAACCTCAGCCTCTTCGCCCTCCTTGATGCACGCTGCCGCAGGCGCAGCCCTTTGGCGATCTATTTCTGCAGTCCTGATACTCGAGGAAAGCCATCGCTGCAGAGGTCCACTGCAACAACTTCTACAGGATTTACTTTCCGATCAAGGCATCCCCCACGAGTCCTGCCAACATTTACACCATCGACTCCTTCAAACTGCAGATGCTCGCATGTTCCAACCCAAATTCCACCCCAGCACCTGCACAGTCGGTGTCATGCGGCATACAATCCGTGTTTGCAAGACCATGCAAAGAGCCCAGCAAGCCGCTCAATCCGCCGGGCACCGGCTTGTCTTAGCTGTCGCTGCAGATCGCAGCTCTTTCGGGAACCGCAACGTGACACTGGATCCGACACTGGCACAGGAGGCAGCCGCAGTACACACTCTATCTGCAACTGCAAATCTACCTGGTTTTCTTGCATTATATCCTGGTGTTCAACTTTGCCTTGAGACCAAACTCTGTCCAGAACTCGGCGTCGTTCGTGGCTGCACTGTCATCGTCGACGACATCGTATTGGCAGACACTGAGCCGTCGCTTGCCACTTTTCAGCTTGAAACATCGTTTCCTTATTCGCCTTTCTCCATGTCTCCTCATCGCAACTAAGGTCGTTTCCTCGCGACCCGACATTGCCTCCACATCCTTTATTGTATTTGCCACAAGCATTGCTCCTGCGCGTTCCTAATGCTACTTGGGTGAAACATGCTGCACTCGGAGCCGGACGTTTCTTGTTGACGCCGACAACCCAACCATGGCGATTCTACCCTCGGGATGCCCACGTGGATCACGCACTTCTGGACGCAGACAATAAAGCCTTCCTACAACTGCATCGATGCCAAATACCCGCCACCAACCTCTTTGCACTCACCCATTACACACTCCAAGGACAAACCCTACCTGCTATCATTCTGGATCTCGCAAGACCTCCACAAATGAAATTAGTGCCTCGTCGTTTTCTATCCGCAAACTGTTTGTCACTATTCCCACTGTGCTGCCTTAATTTCTAGCTCTCTTTGGCATCAATCTAACACCCCTTAAACGCCAAGGATGACTACTGGATCGCTTGCTTCGTTTTGCTCAGCCGGGTCCAAAACATAGACGACGTCCTTCTCCTGCGTCTCCCTGACTTTACTGCTCTGAACAAGCCCAGGCCAGAACATTTACGTTCTGCTTACAACATGTTCCGCACAAAGGAACATACGACTCTTCAGCAGCTCGACAATATCCTGCGAGGATACAATCTGCAGTATCTACGTGATACGGTCACTCTCCCGCTGCTAGCTTCCCATCAACCTGCGCCTTGTGTCTTCGTCGTTACATACCTCCAATTCTCTTATCAATACCTGTTGTTAAACCATTTTCCTTCTATCCGATACCAAACATCAACATTGGCCATGATAGTTGTAGCCAGTCGAGATGTCAAACCCACAGTTATACACAAGTCTCGCCACTGACGGCAGGTCTGCTCACAGTACCTGGCGCTGCGTGAAGCAAACATAGCTCTTGGTACAGGCTCTGCGACCTCGGCTATCATTCGGGGTGAGAACCCAATGAAGAGAAATGCATGTGGCAGGAACATCGATTTGTGTACAATCAATGGTACCAATACTGAATAGTGACTGACCAAGGCTTCCGTTTCGGGAAAAAATTTTCAGGCGGAAAATGGTACTATGACGCTGATTCAACATGGTTCCGTATGAAACAGCTCTGGGAACATATTGATCTTTGTCATTCGCGCAAGTTCTAAACAGTCTTGAAAATACTCATCTCTGAACAGATCCCAAATGTACATCCCCAATACTATCAATGTCCAGAGATTGTGCATATCTCATCTTGCCTTACTGTGGCCAACAATGGTCATTGGTAGGGTGAAATATGGGTTTATACATGCTGATTATTTCCAGTGACATTTGCTTCATTCCTCATATATAATATACATGTTTAACTCACTAAATATGTATCTTTTCTCCCTCATCCAGATACATCTTGCCAAACCAATCCATAACTCCGGTTCTGCCAGGTGCCAACGAGACTAGCAGCTCCTCACCTCGGCTTACCCACATGCGGTCCAAAAAGGGCACTGCCTTTCGTTTTGGTTCTTCTCAGGTTTAAATTTCTCAGAGGGTAATCGAACTGAAGCTTTAACCAGCCAGATTCGCCATGGTTCATATAGTTCATATCCCTGTGTTGGTTTGTAAAGAATCCCATTTTGCTTCAGGAAATCCGTAAATCCCCAGGTTATTGGTTCCATGGACATTTTTTGGCTGGATTAATATCAACATCAACATCCCCAAAACCAATTGACCCGTTCAACTTGTTCAACTCCTTTGCTTTTAGTCATTTTATCATCACAACCCGAGTTATAAGTTGGTTTATAAACCCCATTGACCAAGAGTTATTAACTATAGGTATTAACCATAGTTACTTGGTGGCTCATCCCAGTTAGTAAGTGGGTTATAACCCCAGATATAAATGGGATAAGTAGGCTTAATCCACTTATAACTGTGGTTATAACCCACTTACTAAGTGGGATGAGCCACCAAGTAGTGAAATGTTAATAGGATTTTAATGGGATTCATTGGGATTCTATGGAGATCCAGTGATATTAACCATAGTTATTGAGCACCACCAGTTATAAGTTGGTTTATAAACCCCATTAACTATAGTTATAAGTACCATAAACCATAGTTATTGGAGTTATAAACCAAGTTAGCTATCTATGGGGGCCACCAAGTATTGAGCATAGTTATTAACCAAGTGATGCACCGTTCACCCCCCACGGTGCGGAGCTGTGAGGCCCGCCGTGGAGCAACCGAGCGTCGCTCCCAGCGAGCCTCCCACGGCGCCCAGCACGGCGGAGCCGGAAGTGGCGTCACTGGCGCGCGTGCAGAGCGGACCGGCGCTGCCCACGGAGCCGGTGATGGCGAAGAAAGGTGCGAAGCGGTGCAGAGCGGAGGGAGTAACTTCGGGGATTTTTCACGAAAAATGGCATAGTTCTAGGGATTCTAGGGCTTATATCCCAACTTATGGGGGTTTGTAACCATTCTTCTAAGATTTTTTTCACAAAAAATGGACCGTTTCATGGAATTGCCAGAGAGTTTTTGGTGGGGATTGCCGGTTTTCATGAAATTTCATGGGATTTAGAGGGGGGAAGTTAACTTATCAATTGATCAGGGTGTCTTATAGGAGGATTAGCTAGCAAACATATGGGCATATCATTGACAAGGTGATGATCGGCTGATTATTGGTTCGGGATTGTACTATCGAATAGAATGGGGAATATGATATTGTTTGTTGATCATTATTGGGGATTACACTAACCAACATGGGCTTGTCTGAAAATACAGGATAGGCCCCCCCAGTTATAAGTTGGTTTATAAACCATGAAATAATCCCCATAGCTAGTTATATCTACCATAAACCATTGTTAAACCACTTATAAACCGACTGGGGGCCCCATCCTGTAGGGTTGATCACCATTATCCCTTCTTTTCATGGCTATTTGGGGATATACCCCGTTTTCCGACAACCCCATACCCTCTGGTTATGTCAACAGTTTGCTATGGTATAGATGGCCCAGTTATAATGGATTTACCTATTAAAAGTGGTGATTTTCCAGTTCGCAAACTGTAAACGTTTACCAGAGGGTATAGATTTTCCCATTACGTTTTTATTACATATCCCATTATATCTCATTAGGTATCTCATTAAATGCCAATAAACCACTATATTCCATAGCTATTAAATCCCATTAAATCCCAATATATAGCTATTGGGGACTATCACAATATATACAAATTCTGTAGGGGAATCCTGGTTCTTCACCCAGGATAAGGGAACGGAGGGCATCGAATCCTCATACCTTTGCTGGTCAGGTTCAATCCCCATTTGTTTTTTTTGTGAAATCCACCATTTACCCTCTGGTAAATAAACATAGACCCTGAAAACCACCAATTTATAGTGGAAACTAGTCTTCCAACCCCTATCTGCCAGGGTCTATGTTAATGTACCAGAGGGTAGCTGAGATTTTTGCTCATTGAATGATCTATAAAGCGATAGTCTTGATGGTGAAATTCACCGATTTTTTCCATATCTTTGCTGTCACAATCCTGTTTTTTTGCTGAAATCCAGCATTTTTTTCTCTTTCAATCGGTGAAATCCCAATGAAATCAGTGAAATCCCCATGAAATCCACCATTTTTTGCCCGGTGAAGTCCGTGTTAACCCCGCCTGCCAGGGGCTGTGAAGACGTCCACCTGGTCCGGTGTGGCCTCGGCCAAGCAGCTGCCAAGAGAGGCGCCTGCAGAGGCAGAGCCGTACCTGACCCAAGTGTGGGACACTTGGAAGAAATTTTCTGGGCTTTTCTATAGTGGCCAATAGTATATAATTGGTTAATAGTGGTTAATGATGGTTAATCATTGGTATATAATAATTGGATGATTAGTAATTGATTTTCTGGGCTTTTCTATAGTGGATACTCATGGATAATAGCTATAGAAACTGGGATTTAATGGTTTGATGGGATTTAAATGTTCATCATCCCATGAATTGTAATAGAATTATTGATACTAATGGATAATAAATGGATACTAATGGATATAGTGAATTATTTGATCTATTATGTGGATACTCATGGATACTAATAGAATATTTTACTGGATATAGTGGATTAATCATTTACTAATAGTATCATTTTTCTATTGTGGATACTAATGGATACTATGGATACTAGTATAATTAGTAGAATGATGAATAGTTAATAATTGGATGAGATCAATGGGTTTTCTTTAGTGGATACTAATGGATACTAATAGAATATTTACTAATCATTTACTGGGTATAGTGGATTAATCATTTGCTAATAGTATCATGACACTTGGAGGATTTTTTGTTGTTGTTATAATTTTCTGGAGGAAATATACCCTCTGGTAAACTAACAGTTTGCTATGGAAAATCACCATTTTAAATGGGTAAATCCACTATAAATGGCGATTTTCAATAGCTATGTAACAAATTACCAGAGGGTATCTTCCATAAATCACCATATTTCCTATATTTTTCCAATAAATCACCATATTTTCCATATATTTCCCATGATGTGTAGATTCCCCAGATTTATTGATTTATAATTTTTGGATATTATTGGATGGCAATGATGAATCAATTGGATGATTGGTAAATGATTGGTACAGGATGGGCCCCCCATTTATAAGTTGGTTTATAAACCATGAAATAATCCGCATTAACTATAGTTATATCTACCATAAACCATTGTTAAACCACTTATAAACCAACTGAACGCGATTTCGACTGGGGGCCCCATCCTGTAGTAACGGGATTTAATGGTTTGATGGGATTAAATTTTCATCATCCCATGAATAATCCCATCATACTAGTGGATACTAATGTATAGTAATAGAATATTTACTATAATGATGAAATAGTGATTGGAAATAAAATGGGATGTTCTATCACTTTTTGATGATTGATTGATGGAGGATGTTTTGATAGAGTGGATAAATAATGGATACTAATAGAATATACTGGATACTATAGTGGATGGCAAGATTAATCATTAGTCACTAGTGGATGGTTTACTGGATATTCGTTGATGACAAGGATTAATCAATTGGATGATTAGTAGATGGTTGTAAATGATTGATGGTTATTCTGATATTCCTATAGTTTATATATATATATTAGTAGAATATCGTGATTTGTTGGGATTCATTGATTTCATAATTCTTGGGCTTGATTGGAAATCTCTTTCCTCGTTTTTCATGTACCCTCTGGTAATTTAACATAACTATGGAAAATCACCATTTTCAATGGGAAAATCCACTATAAATGGCCATTTCCAATAGCTATGTTAAATTACCAGAGGGTATATAATGGAATATAATGAAATATACTGCTAGTATCCATTGCTCCTGGGTAAATTATAACGACCTCACTGGGACCGAACCCTGGAATCATGGTTTATTTTAGGGAAATCATCTCCAAATGGCCTGAATTCAGGTTAGTGAAATATTATAATTTACCCAGATTGGTTTGTTGATGGTTTACTTGCTGGATATAAGTGGATGGAAATCATTAATCAATTGGATCATTAGTAAATGATTGATGGTTATTCCATAGTTAGGAGGATTTTCTGATTCATGAAAAATCATGGATATGAATCGAATGTAGTGGATGCTAATAGATAGTAACATTGGAGGATTTATTGCTAGAGGATGAATGGGATGATGTTTTATGGTTTTAATCATAATACCATCAATTTTCTACGGATTATATAATGTCTTTGAATAAATCATGATATGTATCCATTAGTGGATCCTAAAAATCATCAATACGAATTTTGAGCGTTTTTCTAGGGAGATTAAATCATGGGTCATTAAATGTTCCCATTGAACATCACCCAACCAAAATCGGTATATGGTCAATGCCATGGCTACTTTTTCAGGTGATGTCCAATAGCCCCAAAATGGGACATTTACCAAAACTAACATAGCTATTGAACATCACCATTTTTAATGGGAAAATCCACTATTAATGGCCATTTTCAATAGCTATTTTGACATAACCAGAGGGTAAAGGAATGATCAATGGCTAATGTGATGGGATCATTGATAATACCGTCGAGCGAACACACCCCTAACACACCCTCAAAAAACCCCCGTTGAGTGAAACGGGAACCCCCGAGGCTACGCATTCGGGAAAAACATGTTTTTACCAGGAGAAATGGTGGTTAAACTACATGAAAAACTTTAAAATATAAAACTAAAAGAATCTTTTTCAAAATCGATTGAATATCCTTTTTAAATTGCAATTAACATATTGCCAAAAATGGGATTTCGAAGTTTTCCCATAATATTAAATTAAACACCTGAATATAAAAAACTAAAACATTCTATTTCAAAATCGATTCGATTTCCTTTTAAAATCTTTGACAATGTTGGCAAAAATTGGATGTCGAAACTTTCCCCTACTATTAAATTAATTACCTTAATATTAAAACAAATCGATCTTAAAAGATGGACCGTATTAAAAGACACCGGGGCTGACTAGTTTTTATTATCAGGGGGTGAAACCCACAAATGGGCCCTTCATTTTTGACTTTTTATTTTTTAAGGGAATCAATTAAACATCAAATTGGCCAGTCTTGAATTTTCTAAAATTTAACGCGGACCCTTAGTAATGGGATTATCACCAAAGGGATTCACCGACTAGTGAGATTTATAATGGCAACTCCAAAAGTATGATGGTTGAGGAGTGTTTTTGTGGCTGTATGGGATTGGGATTTGTGGTTTGTTGATGGTTTACAAGGCATATTGATGGCAATTTATGATATTTATGGTGATATTTATGGTGAGTGATATTTGGTGATATTCATGGTGATATTTATGTGTGATTTTTGGGACTTAGCTGAGCTAATTATGGGGTTTTATGGTGTTTTAACTGCCAACACCAGGGGCTTTTGATGCCAAACATGGGTTAGTTTATGGGTGATCATGGTCGGGATTTAGTGGAAACCAATTAGAACTGTTGTGAGTCTGGGCAAGAGTTGGTCTGGTAGGGGAAGGAGGATTCTGTGTTTTCTATACATGAGAATCCTGGGATAATTTCGCAGAGTAATCGTACTTGGATTTGGTAGTTTCTTTAAATTGTGGTACCCCCAAATCATCCAAAGTTAGACAAGCTAAGCGTTGAAACATCATTTTCCCAACTAAACATGGCCTCAGTTGGGGTGGGAATATCCTATTCTCAGGCAAACCCGAATTATGGTATTGTTGGTTATATATAGTTACCCTCTGGTTATTTAACATAGCCATGGAAAATGGCCCATAGAAATAGATGGTTTACCTATTAATAGCATGGTGATTTTCCATGGCAAACTGTTAGTCATAACCAGATGGTAAGCCACATCCCACTATATCCCCATGATATCCTCATTCTAGTTGGTTATACCCCCATGTCCGGACAAAAACGCATCCGTAAATTTCCATCAGCATATCCGGTTTCATTAAGCTCATTCATTTACAAGGTGATGCCACCGAGTTGTGCCATTACCATCTTCTATCCGCATGAAATAGGTGGTTATCCACATTATAATCCCTCTGGTAAACTAACAGTTTGCTAATGAAAATGGCCAATTTGTAGATGAGTTTTCCCATTAATAGCATGGTGATTTTCCAGTTTGTTATGTGAAAGTTTACCAGAGGGTAACTCCCATTAAATCCCATTAAATCCCATTAAATCCCATTAAATCCCATTAAACCACCATTTTCCTATGGTTTTCCTATGGTTTTCCAATTTCATATGGTTAGTCCCTTGGATTTTTTTTCTCCCATGAATTACCCTCTGGCTGGGTAAATCCACGATTTCTATCGACTGGGCCATGGCTTCCAGTTCGCAAAGTGTTAGTTCGTTTACCAGAGGTTAATGGTTTTTTTTATGATCAGCCAAACATTACCTAATCCAAAAAGTTATCATGAACAGTTAAGTTGGATCAGTTATCAGTTATTATCATGACTAGTCCATATTTGAACACCATGATTTAATCCATTTTTATGACACACAACTGACATTAAACAGTAACCCTTTTCATGGCATTATCTAGTCCCTGTCCCTAAAGAAAGATGCCATTTTTCTCCCATTTTGTCAATGGGAGATCTTCAGGATCCAACAGATGGAGGTACGTTAGTATATACCATATTGTTGGCCATATTTTCTGGGGATATTCTCTGAAACATAGGCCTTATTAAAAATAGGCCAAACATATATGGAATCGGTACCTCCAATCAATCGGATCCTGAAAGATGCCATTTTTATCCAATATGATATTCTCTATAACTGACATTGAATAACCATTTTCTATTATGATAACTATGGTTTTATAGAAGATATAAGTTGTCAGTTATCATAATAGAAAATATGGTCTTCCATTTTTATCCAAACTTTATGACCATATTTTCTATTCTGATAAGCCATTTTCTATTCCCCTATGATGACCGGACCGGGACCGGGACCGGGACCTGTGGCCCAAGGAGCAGCATCCCAAGGGCCACAAGGCGCCGGTGAAGCGGGAGCTCATCAAACTGGGCGCCGTCTCTCCGGCGCGGCAGATGCTTGGACCGTTGGGGACCGTTGGACACCGGGGCGAAACGGTGCGAAACGCGGAGGATCTGGTGGTTTTCAGTGGATTTAATGGGATAACCATAGGAAAACCATAGGAAAACCATAGGAAAACCATAGGAAAATGGTGGTTTAATGGGATTTAATGGATTTTACCCTCTGGTTATGTCAAAATAGCTATTGAAAATGGCCATTTATAGTGAGTTTTCCCATGAATAGCATGGTGATTTTCCAGTTCGTTATGTTAAATTACCAGAGGGTATGGATTTTTTCTTGTGATTTCTGGCAAGTTATGGATCTAAGAATCAAAAACAAATTAAATATATGGTTGCTGGATGTTGCTGGTTCATGTTACCCCATCTAATCATGATTATTTCAGCATCATAAACCCTACTTAATCTCATGAACTAAAACCAACTTAGCTAAGTGCGGGAGATCCATTCGTGGCTTGCATAGCCTGTGGCAATGGATGGGTTAAGGTACGGCCTTGTCCAGAAATTTGACAAACAGTAGGATTTGGGGCGACCCAATTTTCGGACAAGCACATTTCATGGGATTTCCATAAATGGGGGTACCCCAAAAGCTGGATGGTTTATTTGCTGGAAAATCCTACTAACATGGATGATTTAGGGGTACCCCCATTTCAGGAAGACCCCATATGATGAAAGGCGCAAAACAACGATTTTCAGGGCCAAACGATGGAGATACCAGAAACAAGTGGTGATTTCGCCAGCGAGAAGAGCCGTTTTTTCTTAGCAGCAACAGATTGAGATCACACCGTGACCCAAGCAATGATGATGTCAAGCAGTGGGCTGCATGCTACTGGAAATGAGATCTGATTGATGGGCCCAGCAGGAGAGTTTTTTGTGCTTGAATGCTTGCAACAAACCTTATTCAAAGCATTCTACCAGCACTCAAGACAAGTTTTCAGTGAGAGCCTTCTGGTGAAACCTTCACACCCTTAAGGTATCTCCAAGAGAACCCAACTATTTACACCAGAACTTGGGTTATTTTTCGATGATCCGGGATGGTCCTCTCTGCAGACAAACATTTTCCTATGACTCATCTAGTTGGATGAATTCCGCTTTGAAACACTGATAACTTCCATGCATTTCCATGACTTCCCGTCATTTTCCATCATTTTGTCCGATTTTCCATGGTTTTTTTTCGCTGCCATCCCCGTCCAAGGAAACTCTCCACCCTGGAACCTGTGGAACCTGTAGAACCTACCGAGACGACGGCCAAGAGGTTGTCGATGTCGGCGTCTGATGCCACGATGAAACTTCCTGAGGGCTGGCACCATGTGGAGGGGATTGAGCATGAGGAAGCTCCCGCTGCAGGATGACACGTTTTGCGGTGCGTCCAAAACGTGGTTGATGTTGGTTTATAAAGGTTTATAACCATTATTGAGTGTAGATGTATCTACCGAAAAAGATCCAGAAAACCCTAGTTGAAGTAGTGATATACCAACTCAGCCAACCTTTTGCGGCACCACCTTGTGAAGAGAAACACGCTGAGTGCTGAAAGCGAAGTTGATAAAACCCTTGTGTTTTCGTTGATGATGATATCATCAAAACAAGATATTTCGAAAAACAGAACAACCACCGATGCCTCATCTTTTCCATCAACAGAGAAACAGAGCTGGAGCTACAGTTATGGCCCGAAATACCAGTTATATGTACTGACAAGTCACCCCATTTATAGAATGTTTCTCATCCCATCGAAATCACCAGTTATATCCATCATGAACAACACTATTCGCCACTGTTAACCATTATGAACCACTATTAATCACCATTAATCATCAGTTTTAACTTATAGCCATGGCCTTAAATAACCAGTTATAACTAATAAATTGCCAGTTACCATCTATTTTAATAGGATTTCCACCATAATAAACCATCCATTTTGATAACTGGTAGAACTTGGGCCAACAAAAACTGGTCTTTTAAGGTCTCCGCCAAAGGTGGAGAGGTACCCGTTCCGTTCAACTAGTCCAACTCGCGACATGCAAATGCATTGACGCCGTGGAAAAGGATGGGATGGGAAATCATCCCCAGCCGTGGGGGCCTCATTGATCTTATTTCAGGTTAAGAGTTTTTTTTCATATTCACCCATAGTCATATGAATAAATATGGCCAGATAATTTACCCATGTATATATACATATAATATGTAATACAGTCATATTATAATTTAGATATCATATATTTACCCTTAAATCACGTTTCGGAATTCGATATTTTAAGGGGAAACTGGTTTAGATGACAAGATGTCACCTCTACAGGACAGGAGGTTTAGATGTGGTTTCACAGCCCACCAATGGAGTCATCATTTTCCGGTCATCAGTTTTCCACATCTGGAGTTTACCCGGCCTGGTAAACGTTTACATAACGAACTGGAAAATCACCATCTTTAAGTTCGGTAAATCATCTATTTCTATGGGTCATTTTCCATGTTAGTTTACCAGGCCGGGTACCCTTTTTTGGCCAAATTTGGGCTCTCAATCCTCCTTTTTTGAGTTGGACCACCTGCAGTACCACCTGCAGACATGTCCACCAGGTCCTACACTACTTCACAGGCTTCAAGGCCGACAAAACGCGGCGGATCTTTCACAGGTCTTTCATTGTTTCACAGTTTTAATTGTTGAAAACAGGTTGATGGGTGATAAAAATCCACGATTTCGCGGGGATCTACCATGGGATTTCATGGGAATATTTTTCATGGTATATATATAATATAACCATATATATATATAATATAAATAACTAACTAAGAGTAGCTAAGAGTAGGATATTGGCTGTGTCTAAAAACTGAGGATACCCCAATTTTGATTTGCGAAAATAGGGATTTTTCCGTGCACAACTTCCAGATCTGGGACTTCCTCAATAGGTCCCATGGGGTCATCGTTAAATGGTAAATCTCCATGAATGAAGTGTGAAGAGTTCACTCTTGGGCTTCAGGTTCCAACCAGACCTACCCGGCCTGGTCAACTTTCACATAACGAACTGGAAAATCCAGCCATTTTCTAGCTGGGAAAACTCACTATTTCAATGGCCATTTTCCAGTTCGCAAACTGTAGCATAATCAGAGGGTATCCATCACCATCTTGGGTATATCGATGTGAATCCATCGGAATCCAGAACCAGAACAGATCATTGGGTGACAAACTTCAATCTTTATAGAACGTTTCTCATCCCATCGAAATCACCCTCAAATAACCAGTTATAACTGATAAATTGCCAGTTATCATCTATTTCTAGATCGGATTTTCCACTATAAACCACTAAGAACCACTATAAACCACTATAAACCGCTATTTTCTAGATCGGTTGTTCCACTTTTTGAACCATCTTTGATGCAAAAAGCTGCGCAAAAAAACCAGGATGGGCCCATGCCGGAGCAGAAACGCTTCTGCGTCTACCACATCTCCAAGGGCCAGGTGCCGTGTTTTTTGGTGTTTTTTTTGGCGCACACCGAAATGGCTGGTACTGGGATTGGTACTATGATAGGTTTTAGAACCAATGGATAGATATGCCATAGAAATTTTGCTTGTGGATTTTGGTCACTCAGTTTTTTTTTTTAATTTTTAATGGTACTATAGGAACTTATGCTTGGATTTTCATGCATCCCAAATATGGTACTTGGATGTGACCCCGTGATATAGAACTGGTGATGTTCCATACATAACTGGGGAAGAATGATATGGTTACGACCCACTATTCTAACTGGGATACATCCCCAAGTACCCTTTGGTTATCTAACATGATTTCCCGTAGATGCCCTTTTCCCACTGATTGAGGGGGTTTCGCCCAGTCAACCAAGAGTTAGATGATCATAAATAGTATACCGAACCGGTGCCTCTATTTTTCCTTTGATATAGCAATAGTATTGATAAATTATAATTGATAGATTACTATTACTTGTTGGGGTCACCTCTGTTTTTCCTTTGGAATAACACGATTGTGTAGATAGATGATCTCCCAATAGTAGTTTTAAGAATGCATTGCTGGAATCATAGCCGTCAGCTTAGATACCAAAACTACCTGCGAGGGGCGATGTGGGCGACCTCACTATGACCTCACTATGACCTCACCCGGCATTTTGGACACCATCCCAAAATCATCATTGGGTTCATTTATGATTATATTTATGATGGACTCACAAATGACGATGGACACCATGGATCATGGCCATCCCATAAAATCTCTTCGTTTTTTTTTCCGGATCTACTTAGACGCCGAAGATGTTGCAAGCCTTCCATGGATGGAAACTGCAAAGTGGGCCCCCCCAGGTATGTTTGTTGGTTTTTAAACACCAGTAAGTATAGTTATAAGTACCATAAACCATAGTTATTACTCCAATAACTATCGATAAGTTGGTTATTACTCCAATAAGTACCATAAACCAGAGTGAAATTGGAGTTATGTTCACCAACTCATCGATGGAAACGTCTTTTCCCGTTTTTTTTTTTTCCGGCTCGACAGCGTAGGGATCGGCTCGATCGGCTCCGATCGTTGGATTTTGAGGGTCGGACCACGGAGCAAACGGAGCAATGGTCCGCGCAGTGCTTAGAAATTCGACGGAGTTGTTTTCGATGGGTCACACAGGATGGGGCCCCCAAAATAGCGTTCAGTTGGTTTATAAGTGGTTTAACAATGGTTTATGGTAGATATAACGAACTAGTTTTCATGGGGATTAGAATGGTTTATAAACCAACTTATAACTTGGGGGCCCCATCCTGTGTTTGTGCTTAGTTTCTCCAAAACTCGCCGGATAGCCTGAGAAATACTTAAAGCACATTCTGCAATTTTGCAGATGAATCTCAATATAAACATCCAACTTTTATCTCAACATATCTATCAGCTTTCCCTTCTTGCAGACCACTGGTACCTGAGGCTTTGCTCAAATTGAGTCAAGTGGAGGTGGAAGATGTTATGCCATCCTTCAGGCGATGAGTCTCTTCAGAAATCTCACGCCAAATGATGAGTCATGATCGTAGTTTTTCAGACATAATATATGTATATATATATATTTATACACTGTATATATATATACATGTGTATATATATATGTATTTGAAAACTACTAGCCATCAATGATCAACAAACAAATCTGTTGAGATGAGTTTATTGCTATCCCAAATTTGATGATCATTTCCCTATGAAGTCAAGGCTCTTTGGCTGTACTCCCTGGCGTTATGAAACATGACTAGTTGGCAAGTCCCCAATTTAGTTCGATGATTTTCCCAGCGAACGAAACCTCCATGTATTGATCGTGAATGGAGTTGGAATCTGAAGCCAAGATCAATGATTGAATTTTCCAACTCCAGATACCCTCTGGTAAACTTTCACATAACGAACTGGAAAATCACCATGCTATTCATGGGAAAATCCACTATTTCTATGGCCATTTTCAATAGCTATGTTAGTCATTACCAGAGGGTATATCCCATTAAATCCCATTAAATCCCATTAAGTCCCATTAAATCCCATTAAACCACCATTTTCCTATGGTTTTCCTGTGGTTTTCCTATAGTTTTCCTATGGTTTGGTACGATTTGCATTATCATTGGAGTTGGAAAAGACATCAACGGAGTTGGTCTGAAAATCGGGTACTCCAAATTCCAACTGATGATTCTTTTTTTTGTCACCATTCATAGCTGCATATTTGGGGATATACCCTCTGATAAACATACAAAAAGCTATTGAACATGGCCATAGAAATAGTGGATTTTCCCAATAAAAATGGTGATTTTCCATAGTTATGTGAAAGTTTACCAGAGGGTACTAACCATTTTCAGAAAAACCCAAACACATATAGTTGCTTACTTATATACCATTATATCTCTAATAGATGATTTTCCCAGGAAATGTACCCATGTTATTGCCATCAATGGTCCCAAATAAAGATTTCCATGTTGTAATTGTAAGTTCTGAAATTATAAAAACACATAGAATATGTTGTTAAGTTTTAAATGATCATGTCGCTTTTTGAAATCTGTTTTCCGAGTCTGGTTTCGGATCATGTCGCTTTCCGAATGTTTCTTGATCCACACATGTTGTCATGCCATGTCGCCACGTGCCAGGCAGATGGGCCTCGACCTTAGCCTTAGCACCGTGTCTGGCGTACGCATTATCTCATGTGGCCATGGATCACACATGATCAACCCTGAAATTTTCTGGCTTGATGATGATGGTGATGATGATGATGGTGATGATGATGATGATGCTGATGATGATGATGCTGATGATCCATGTATTCACATATCAACATGTCAATGTATCATCATATGATCCTAAATATTTTGTTGAGGTCATTCCATCAAGCCGAAGGCAACCCTTTCGATGGTCTCAAGGACACGGGCAAGAAGGCCAGGCCGGGCAACGGTCCGACACAATTAAGCCATAAGAATCTTCTTGACCGGAGGATTGAGTGGGAACAACTGACCATCAACGGATCAAGATTTGGGACGATCCAACTGAAATCAGTTGTGTATAGAACTCTGGTGCTGGAAAAGCATGGTGATTCACCAAGAAAAAGTCGTGGTTTCTTGGGTTTTTTGTTGGATATTTCATGGGGGATATTTCATGGGAATCTCATTTTTCAGATCTTTCATGGGAATCTCATACAATGTGGGGCCCCCTAGTTATAAGTTGGTTTATAGCCCCATCTAACTATGGTTATAAGTACTATAAACCCTAGTTATTCTAGTTATAAACCAACTTAGCTATCTTGGGGGCCCCACATTGTATGGATTGTTTAGATATTGAAGATGGTGATGTAGCGACTCTGGCAATCAAACATGGCTGGAATTTAGCCACCCCTTCCATTGTTCGATGATCCAACTGCACCCCCCCAGGCTTTCATGGTGCCATGGATGAAGGATGGTACCCCACGGCACCATGTTTTGAGACTCCCTTTTAAAACATGGATCTCCCATTTAAAAATCACACTCAAAAATACCAATCCCCAATTTTTACAATAAAAACATCCCTAAGAACTAGAACATATCCCATGAAATCCCATGGAAAATCCCATTAAAACAGCATTTTCCTATGGTTTTCCTATGGTTTTCCTATGGCCGGGTATCATATCAATTCATATCATAAGTCCGTTCCTGGCGGCCCGTTTTTTTTGAGGTCAGCGTGGGCCGCTTTTTGCCGCCTGTGATGCCCCAGGAGTTCATTGCGTTACACATTTGATGTTTATAGATGTTTATACACAGATTTGATTTGGTGGGTTATTATTGAATATATATATATACTGTATATATATATAGCATATTTACTATTATCAAATGAATATAATATAATATAATATAATATAATATAATAATTTTTATTATTACTATTACTATAATACATATATATATATAGCATATTTTTAGTGTTTCTATTGGACATTTGCTCATTTGTGGTACTGAGATAGTGGCAAAAGTACTTTAAGGACCATCCCAAAAAATGGAGCTTTCTTAAAATGTGGCGCCCCCCAAAACCATAAAATTTAGTGATTTTTGGGGTATAATTTACCCTCTGGCAAATAAACATAGACCCTGAAAATCACCAATCTTTAACGGAAACTAGTCTTCCAACCCCTATCTGCCAGGGTCTATGTTAATTTACCAGAGGGTGAAATGAATGATCTGTGTTTCAATTTTGTGCCCCGCGAGTTATAAGTTGGTTTATACCATCATAACTCTAGATAGATACACATTTCATATCTATTTGGCTTATAATTACCATAGTTGGTTTATATCATACATGGTTGTATGATAGTTGGTTTATAGATATAATTTGACGCAATATACCCATCATAAACTCTAGTCAAACTACAAACCCATTGGGCACCACCTCATACGTCCCATGTGTGGATTTGCTCTCGTGGTGGCAGGACATCATTTGCATTGGCCGAAAGCTTAGGGTGCCAACAGTCATTGGTTCCAGGCGTTTGGGGAAGCAGTGACTAAGTCATTGTGGGTGACGAGTTATGACTTGGGCAGAAAAAATGGCCATAAACCGTTTGCATGATTGGGGATGGTTGAGATCCCAGCACAAAATATGGTGATTTTGAGATTGGTGATGAAATTGGGTTTGCCCTCAGGTGATTTTTTTGGGTGCCAGCTGGTGTATTGGGGATTAAAAACCAGCTGGCATCATTCTTGAAGTGCTTCAGGGTCGCCCTACTTGGCGAAGTTAGCGGAAGTAACACATTTTTAAGTGTCCATGGTAGATATATCTATCTAATCGTAGTCAATGTGGTTTATAAACCAGCACAACCGGGGGGCACCATGTTGTAGGTAACTAACCATCCTTGGTGAATGGTTGATTCATGCAGTGAATTTATATATGAGACCAACAAGGATATGTATTTTCAGGGGGTCTATGGTAAGTCAAACAAACAAACATCCTAAACTTTAGAAATTGGAAAATGAGGGGTAGATATGAGGATGGCTATCCATGATTAGTTATGATTATTACCACCACATCCATGATGCCATGGCTATTCATACTCGGACGAGGATGAGGCTGAGGATGCCATGGATATGTCTGTTTTTCACCCGTTGTTAGTAGGTTTACTTTCACCTCATTGACTGGACTAGTTCGATATATCTACCCGAAGCTTGCTGAAGAGCAATGTACACTGGTTGAGAGGGAGACTTTTTTTGTGGATAACTGGTCGATGCTTGATATTGTTTGATTTGTTGATGCTCTATCCTACCTCTCATGATGATTCCAATCATTTTTTCCCCCTGTTTCAGGCAGATTTAACGGACACCAAGCAGCACTGGAGTCGATAGAAATAGCCACGCCGCTGAGGCCTGAATTACAGGGCGCATGCGGATGAGTTGAAACTGCCTTATCCAAAGAACCCTGTGGCAACTCGGCGCATACAAAACTACCGGGCCCTATCGATGCAAAGTGTCGGCCATGGCCGCCACGGTGTCATCATGGCTGGAAAATCCTGGTTGGTCAGATGATGTCAGATGATTTTCTCATGTCGCCATTTAAAAGAAACATGACCATCGGCTTCAGGGCGCTTGCTTGAAACGTCTCCGGAGATGTTTATTTCATCTCATGTTTGTGAAGGAACAAAAAGAACACAAAAGACATCAACACACATTATTGATGAAGAAAGAAAGTACACAAAAGTAGCCTCTGGTATATTAACATAGATCCTGGCAGTCAACGGGGTTGGAAGACTAGTTTCCATTTAATTTACCAGGGGATCCAGGGGTTTTTCAAACTTCGGTGCAAAGTCTCCGTCCGTGTGGTGAACAGAATTAACGGCGCGTTGCCGCCGTAGTAAAGTAGTAACCGTTAGCATTGCCGTTGGTGCACAGTTCACTTGGTGAATTCGTCTGGGTTTTCCAACTAGGGGGATAGAACTCCCGATAGCTAAGTTGACGCGCATCATTTGGCAGACTTACAACCACTTTATGGGGGATATAATATGATATAATAACATGACTGTGTTATGATATAACAAGATAATATGATTTGGCAGACTTTGTATCTAGGGTTATAACAGTTATAAGATGTTCTAAAGCAACATAACTGTGGGGCCTCACGTTGCCGCAGTTATTGCCGCATATTATAATGACACCCCATGGGTACTAAGCGCCATTGGGATGGTTGATAATGATCATCCATTTATTTTCCATAACCACTAAAGTAACATATTATAGTAAGCGTTATCAACATATAGTGACCATTATTAACAATCATTAACCACTATTGACCATTAATATATATATATAGTAACCATTATATATAGTAACCATGATTGACAATCATTGACCATGATTAATCATCATTAACCATTATTAACCATCATTAGCCATTATTAACCATAGAATTCATCAACCATTAATAACAATTTACCATCAAAGTAACATATAGTAACCCTTATATATAGTAACCATGATTAACAATCATTAACCACTATTAACCAGAACCACTTAAGTAACATATAGTAACCATTATAAACATATAGTAAGTAACCATTATCAACATATAGTAACCATTATTAACTATCATTAACCATCATTAACCACTATTAACCACTACTATATAGTAACATATAGTATCCATGAAACGCGAAGCCGACGCCACGCCACAAGGTCTTCATGAAGCCCACGAGCTGTACGGCGGCACATGGGGATCCCATCGTCGGGGCCCAAGTGATAGGCGGAATTCATGGGGAACACAAATTGTTTTGTTCAATGGCCACCTTATGGAAAAAACTATACATATATATATAATATATAAAATAATATATATATATAATTATATAATTATATATAATATAGTCTAGTATATAATATAAAATGTAAAATATATATATTATATAATATATATATAATGTATAGTATAGAATATATCATAGATGATTTATCATATATCACATATCATATATCATATAGCATATATCATATATCATTTATAATAAATAGATACACACACACATATATATATATAACACACACACATATATATATAAGCATATATATGCACTATATAGTGGACCTGGGTAAATTATAAGGACCTCACTGCGATCTCACTGGAATGATATTTTTTTTTCAAGGCCGCACTTTTCAGATTGAATAATGGCCATAGAAAGTTCGTGGATTTAACCATTGAAAATGGTGATTTTCCAGTTCGTTATGTGAAGGTTTACCAGAGGGTATATGATTTACCCAGATTTTTGGAAAAAAAATAGGCATTTTTATTTGTAAATCATGGCCACAAGGCTTCAAGGGTGGGCAATTCATGATTTTCTCTCCTTATTTATTCAACGTTACCCCTGGTAACTGGGCTGGGAGCAACCCTGGAAAATTCTGAAAATTCTGAAAGTTGGGAAATTGGGGAACTGATTGGAGGATCTCGATGATTTCTGTATGATTTAGCCATTGAAAATGGTGATTGTCTATAGCGAACTGTCGAATTCCCAGAGGGTAAAAAAAGAGAAATTCTCCAAAGATGTCCCCACTGATGCGTTCTTATACCGGGGTAAAAGGCCAGGCGGATCATGGAATTGAATAATACTGTTGTTTCCAGGTGATTCATTTCATGATCGGGATAATAACGAATTTATTGGGGTGAGATATCTTTCGGGATCTAATGTCTTCTGGACTACCCACGTATTGTGTGGTACAGTTTTAGATTCATCAGGTAGGGGAGTGACGTCCATAGCCAATGTCCGCCATATTCCCGTCTTGGTCCCCAGTGTTGATAAACCATATATTCTGTCCCACTTGTTTGTACACGGATAATAATTACCCTTTGGCTATTCAACACAGCTATGGAAAATGGCCCATAGAAATAGAAGATAAACATGATAATATTTACCAATTTGCCTATTATACATGGTTAAATGACCAGAGGGTTAAATCTCCATCAAATGAATTTAGACACTCCAACTCCTCCGCAAGGTGGTCTGACATCACATTGATGTTTCTGGACTAACCCATATTTCACTGGCCATTTCAGGAACCGATTGATTGGAGGTACCTACCATATATAAGGCCTAGTTTTCAGGCCTATGTAAGTGAATATCACCACAAAATATGGCCAAAAAAATGGTACAGTACCTCCATTTTAGGATCCTGGAATTCGCATTGAATATTTGTCCCCATTGGATTCTGACCTCATCTCTACCTCCGCCAAAAAACATGTGGCGACAAGGCGCAACCGCGCGTCTCAGAGAAGATGGACTACGAGGTGTGGGTGTACATTTTCTTGCGCTTTGCGAATGGGAACATGGGATGAAGATATGGCTGGGTAAATTATAACGACCTCACTGCGACCTCACTGGGAATCATGGTTAGTATTGGAAATGATCCCCAAATGGCCTTAATTCAGGTTAGTGAAATATTATAATTTACCCAGATATGGTATAGATGGCTCAGAAATAGTTCGATGAAATTAGCTATTCAGCTACTTTAAACTTGAGATTCATTGCCATGGCAAACTGCTAGTTTACCGTAATATTGCCTGGTTGTTTAACCGCGGCCAACCGTTGATCGGTGATGTGCGGTGAACGTATCGAACTTCAATGGGAGATCTCCAGGATCCAACAGATGGAGGTACGTTAGTCGTTAGTACCATATATTTCTGGCCATATGAATTGTGGTGATAAATATGATATTCCCTGAATTTTAGGCCTGAAAAATAAGCCAAACATATATGGGATCGGTACCTCCGTCCTCAATCGGATCCTTTTCGTCATGGCCATTGACATGGTGGTGAATCATGGTGGTGAATCATGGTGAACTACAGCATGGTGCCCGCCCAGTTATAAGTTGGTTGTTCATCAACCCCACTGACTAGATAATTCTATGTTTTATGGTAGATATAAATATATATATAGATAACCATATTTGGTAGTTATCTTAGTTTTATCTACCATAAACCATAGAATTCAGCCATAAACTAAGGCAACTGAACACTATCGACTGGGGGCCCCATCCTGTAACATTTGGCCTCACTGCGAACACATCTTTCTGTGGAGGCAGCTTGAACATTTTCAATGGGAAAACCAATGGCGAGCTCCGGAAAAACCACCCGGGAAGAACGGGGAGGGGTTGACCATGGGCATTTCTCTGACAAGCCTGGGGAAATGATCACAAAGTCAATAGGTCAACCGTGGGTCAACCATGGGTCAACCGCTCAAAAAATACCTTAGACGCGGTGATGTAGGCAGCAAATATGCAGATACGTGCGGGTGTAATTCATGCGATTTTTATGCCTCGGGGATATGATTGCCATCCGTTTGGCGTCGATGCTGGGTCAAAATTCATGACTCCAATCCACATAATGGAAGGAGGTCGGGATTTTGAATGTAATGATGCTGGTGACTATGACGCTAAGCAGCCTCGTGCCGTGATTTTTTACCTTGTTGTTAAAACCTATCGACAATTGATATATATATATATATATACATAACTATTATAAACATATATAGTTATATCATATCTGTCAACTATAGATATATCTTGGCCCATCACCTACTTACAAAGGCTATAAACCAGCTTCGCTAAGGAGGGGTCACCATTTTGTGTGACATTCGACACAACTTCTACAATGTTGACTTCGGTCTGACCATGATTCTTGCATGCATTTCCGCCTGTTTTTCCTTCCGATTGATCTCCGGTAAATTCCAACAATTTTGGGGACATAGCCGCTGACCGTATCACGGTCTGTCACGGCATTTTCCGACAAAGCCCAAGATTTTAGTGTTTTTTTTTGAATCTCCTGCCACGGTTCGTCATGGTTCGTCACAGTTTGTCGCGCGACTAGTAGGCAATTGGAAGCCAAGGCTTCCGACAAAATACGATCTCCGACTGTAAGATTTCGACAGTGCATGCGCTATTTGGGATCATCAGAAATGACCTCGTATTCGCATACATGTCTGCTCTTACTTTATTTATTCGCATGGATCCTCAGGGATTGAAAAATCAACGCCCCTGCTCCTGTGACACTTGAACGTCCGGAAAAAAAATCAATTTGGATGCCGACCACCAAAATTTCCAAAAACTTTGGGATCAGAAATAAACCATAAAACCAATTTCCAAAAACTTTTTTCCCGGTTTGGGAAAACCAGGTTTTTGAATTTTTATGATTTTTTTAGGCGAGGATTGTTTTTTTTTAAATATGGGTAAAATTCGGGTTTTCAATCGAAACCCTATATTCTCGGGAAAATCCGATCAGAAAGCAAGAGCACGAGCACATGGAAAGCAAACGCTGACAATCAAGTGCAAAAGCCTGCAACTGGACTTACGCAGCTGCGAGCTCTGTTCTTGGCCAGGGATGACCTGTCTTTGTTCGTACCTATCTTCTAATTGTGCCTCAGATGCAGGATGGGACCCCCCAGTGATGTGAACGTTGGTTTATAAACCATTCTAATCCCAATTAACTATAGTTATATCTACCATAAACCATTGTTAAACCACTTATAAACCAACTGAACGCTATCGACTGGGGGCCCCATCCTGTGTGCTTGTCTTGCGTGGGTCGCTGAACAGTACTAGCGGAGAGATCTCCATGACGCAAGCGAACATGGCAAAGTTGGGCTGCAAAAAACTGAAGAAACAACAGCTCTGCCCACTATCAAATGGAATTCTTTGGCCAAAATTGAAACGTTATCAAACCGGAATTCACTGGCCAACAAACATATATGTATATATATACATAGATTTATGCACATATGTTTTCCTAGATTTACACATGCACATATGTTTTTCCATATTTCCCATATATAGATTTATGCACAGTATATATGCTGACATTCCCAGGCTTTGTTGATTATCCCTTCAGGTGGAGTTGGCCGTGGTGATCGGCCGGGAGTGCAAGGCAGGGACAACCCATGCTCGCAAAAAGTTTATTTTACCAACGGGATAAATGAGATAGAATGGCTAATATAGTGGGATACAATGATATATATATAGATAGATAGATATAAATGTTATAAGTATAATATATATATATACACATGTATGTGATGTGATGTGATGTAATGTAATGGAACGTACCGTAATGTAATGCAATGTAAGATAATGTAATGCAACGTAATGTAATGGAATCTAATTCAATTTAATGTAATGTATATAGTGAGATTTAGGCATTGGATATATACAATCAATGGTTTAGTGCGATAGAATAAGATTTAGATTACGGGATGCAGAATTTCTGTGACATGAATATATAGTGGGATAAACATATGAATATATAAAAAAATATATATACATACACATATGCACACGAACATTTGGATATATAATGGGTTTACTTGTAAATGGCCTTCAAACTAGTATATACAATCAACATCAGATGGGGATTTTGATGGGATTTAACTACTGTAACCAGATATCAGAAGTTGTTTTTTTGTTGATTGAGTCCTTCCAATAGCTCAGGTTTTGGCGGAACAAAATATGGTAAGTTCTTCGCAAAAATATCAGAATCCATTAGGAAAGTCCTTGAAAGATTCACCCGTATGAAAGGGACAAGCCAGGGTTTTAGGATGATTTACCCTCTGGTAAATAAACAGTTCGACCCTGAAAATAAGCAATTTATAGTGGAAACTAGTCCTCCAACCCCGATGAATGGCAGGGTCTATGTTAATTTACTGGAGGGTAGAATGTCTTAAACTAACATAGCTAGGGAACATCACCATCTTTAATAGGTAAAAATCAATTATTTCTATGGGCCATGGCTTCCAGTTCGCAAACTGTTAACGTTTACCAAAGGGTAGGTCCTGTTTTACGGGATTTACCTGGATTTTCTGAGATGATTTTGTGCCTATTCCTATTGGCTAATCCACCGATTATTTTTCATTTTTTTTGGAAGACCTGTTGAAAAATAATCCTAGTAGACTCCCCATGGTGGAAAAATCCCATTAGAAAATCACCTGACCTGGAGCAAATCCAATTTTTTTGGTGATTTTTCGACTGGGCTGAACCATCACTTCGCACAGGATGTGACGCCAGAACAGGCCATGGACTATGTCCTCGGGTGCGCGATGCATGCGATGGGATGCTGAAAAGCGGAAACGAAAAACGGGGCGAAACGCTGGTTATCACTCATTGAATGGGGGTGTACCCTCTGGCAAACAAACATAGCTATGGAAAATCACAATTTTCAATGGGTAAATCCACTATAAATGGCAATTTTCTATAGTTATGTTAGTTTACCAGAGGGTATATAATCAGACAAAATGTTTGATAGGTGATTTTCAACTACCCCGTTTGATTGCCAGAGGGCCTAGGTGTTCTTTTTGTTTTTTTTAGTTTAAAAAAATATGCAGTAATGTTTTTGTCCCTTTTAATAAGAACCAACCTTTCAGCAACCCTGGGTTTGCGGCATCACGTATGATTCTATCCTGACATTTGGCCACATGGACTGACATGGGAATTGGCACTGACATATCACTTGACATACATACTGAGTTACTGAAAGATTTGAGGACAGCGGACTGACATGTATTAGATGAGTTCACTTAACAGTCCCCAAAAAAAGGTGCTACCCTCTGGTAAACTAACAGTTTGCTATTGAAAATGACCATTTATAGTGGATTTTCCCATTAAAAACGGGTGGATTTTCCATAGCTATGTGAAAGTTTACCAGAGGGTAAGTGCCATTAAATCCCATGGAAAATCCCATGGAAAATCCCATTAAGCCACCATTTTCCTATGGTTTTCCTATGGTTTTCCCATGGATCGGGGGATTTTTGTTGGAACCTGGACAGACTGGGTCCAGGTACACCTGCGCCAATGACCTAAGCACCAGAGACTGGCAAAAGGTCCCAGAACTCTCTGGCAGTTGGGCGCGCCCAGCTTGGAAACTAAGAGAAACTGGCACCGAGTTTGGAAAATATGATGATTTATTGGAAAAAAACATGGAAAATATGATGATTTATTGGAAATATATGGGAAATATGGTGATTTATGGATGTTTACCCTCTGGTAATTTGTTACAGTTTGCGAACTGGAAGCCATGGCCATTGAAATAGTGAGTTTTCCCATTAATAACATGGGTGGATTTTCCAGAGTGAGTTCATCGCACTTTGTGCTTGTGAAGAGTCAACATGAGTCAACCTTTGTTGTTTACTGTACCTCTGTATTCTCCCATTCTATTCCCTTTTTTTTACATAGTCAAAGCCAATTTTTGTTGCTAACATCCTCATGTCTACTGCTTAAATTCTCACCACACGTGGATGATTCCAAAGACAAATCTGCACTTTATTGGTCCGACTCTTGTTTTTACAGAGCTGAGAAAACGAGAAAACCTTCCATCACAAGTATAAACAATTGATGATTTAAGACCAAGATTACGACCATAACCCAAAAAGTGGTAGTTAGTTATGCTACCCATGTTTTTTGACAAATTAAACGGATCTCAGAATGTCGTTTGTATGTGCCATTTTAAATTTGCATTTACCCTCTGGTTATTCAACATAGCCATGGAAAATGGCCCATAGAAATAGATGGTTTACCTCTTACTAGCATGGTGATTTTCCATGGCAAACTGTTAGTCATAACCAGATGGTATATCCCATTATATTTCCATTATATATCCCATTAAATCCCAATAAACCATGATATTCCATTGCTATTAAATCCCATTAACTCCCATTAAACCACCATTTTCCCACAAACCACCATGTATCCCATGCAAAAAAAACGAGGTCAGTGGTGCAGATCGAAGAGCTTTGATGGGTTTCTTCGTCAGAGATCCGGCCCTTGGTGGCGCATCATTTTGAACATCTCCATTTATGGGGGGATGTTCCAGCAACCTGGTGAATACTCCTGGTAAATACATGTAAATACCTGGTGACTACCGGATGGTACATAGGAATATTTTTGGATCTGAGGATGAAACTGACCAAAAGAATGATGGGCTTTACCTGCCCAAAATAGGCAAGTTTCGTGTTGTTGAACAGAGAAAGACCGCGGAGTTTGCCTACGCGAAAGCTGCAAAAAATGGGGAGTTAACATGTAAGATGCCGAATGCCACCCTAAACCAACCATTGAGATATTACACAATCTCCAATCATGGTGATCATCAACAACAACAACATCATCATCATCACCATTCATACAATAATTAGCTTCATGATAATATGTATATATATATATTACTAATCACTAATCAATGATATTCAATAAGCATCCTACAATATTTAGTAGCCTCTGGTTATTTAACATGATGAAGACACATATGGCTCTAGATCAATACCTATAAATAGCATCCTTAGGGGATGAACATCCATAACAACTAGCTATTTTGATGTTCACCATGTATTTACCAGGTTTTGACCCATCTCCTTGCTTTGCTGAGATGATTTCTCATGTTTTCCCAAAGTTGGCATTTCTACCGTGCTAAATCCCCAAAATCCATGGGTCAATAACCGTTTTCCCGCTTGCAACTCCGATTTGCTGCAAAAAAAACACACAAAATTGGAGCCACACCCAAATATCATCACATATCAAATTCTTGCTTAATTTATTTCCCATGAAATATGATCCCAACTTGGTGGTCAATCATTTCATGGTCGCCTTTTTTGCCTCTGGTGACATAGTGGAACGGTTCCCGAGGTTTGCCCCAATTGGTCCGGTGATCGCCACGAAGGCGTGTTCAACGCGCCGGCTTTTGAAGATGGGGGTTGAGTCTGGAAAATGATGAAAATGGGGATTTCACCCGAAAAAAAAGGGAGATTCATCATGAAATCATACAATGTGAGGCCCCCAAGATAGCGTTCACTTGGTTTATAACTCCAATAGCTATGGTTTATGGTACTTATAACTATAGTTAATGGGGTTTATAAACCAACTTATAACTGGGGGGCCTCACATTGTAGGAAATCCCAATGAACATAGGCCATTTGATTGAAAAATTGAAGTGTATCACAAAACCATTCTAAAACCATTCTAAAAGGACCCAGGATTTAGGTGATTTCAAGAAGGACACTGTTGTGTCTTCAACTGAAATGGGGTTTACCAATTCAAGAATTGGAGGTTTCCTATGTCATGAGGGGTACTCCTAAATCATCAATTTTTATTAGGATAAGCCATCCAGCTATTGGGGTATCCCACAGTTATGGAAACCACCAGTTCGGCATCGAAATAGGATGCAGTAGGACGCAGTTGGCCCCAGTTGACGTTGAGATCAGGGCCCGAAAAAGGGGGGATTCGACGGCGCTTGCAGGATGAAATCGCAGATCCCGGCGTTTTGAGAGTCGGGCGACCCAACAGTCGAGGTCGATCCTAGCGATCCAATGATCCGACGGGAGTTCTTGCGGATGGGTCACCAGCATTGCATCCCCCCAAACTCTGGTTATTTGTTGCATAACTACCCAGAACATTGCCATGGAAAGTTCGTTCATTTACCCATGAAACATGGTGATTTTCTATAGTTATGTGAAAGTTTACCGGAGGGTATATGTTGCTGAAATGAATTGTGGGTCCAAATAGGTACCTCAATAATCTGATCCATACATTTCGAGACAAAGATTGCCCTGCAGGGTGGTGCCCCCAGTTATGTTGGTTGGTTTGTAATCCCGACTAGTTTGACATATCTACCATAAACCCAAGTGAAATTGGAGTCATGTTCACCAACGAAGCGAACTATGGGGCATTTATTCAACAACTAACTATTCCATTGTATAATCCCATTAATATCACATATATGAATAGATATATGTATACATATATATATAGATACACATATTATACGCATACACACATATATGTATATATATATATATTATCAATGCACATATGTATATATATATATATGTCTGTATAGTGGGATAGCTATTAACTATGAGGCACCACAGGGCACCTTTTTTAACACCGCTCGAAGGTCCAGACTTTTGTCAATGGAGTGCAGATGCAGGATTTGGCCGATGTGGGGATGATTTCAGCAATAAACCAGAGTGGGGATTTAATCCGTTGTTTATTGTGGTTATTAACCATTAATTATGATAATTGTTTATGGTTATTAACCAGAATTAGTGATTAATGGTTTTAATCCAGGGATAATGGTTTAATCATATGGGTAATGGTTTATCATGAGTTAATAATTGATGATAATTAATGGTTATTAATGGTTATTCATGGTGAGTGAATAAACTATGATTTATGGTAGATATAACGCACTAGTTATGGTGGTTTGTTTCATGGTTTTTCTGAGCCAACTTATAGAATTTTCATGTATTGAGTAAATGTTTTTTCCGTAGTTGAACCAATTACTGTGTGGTTTTTCAAATTACCCATGGGCATATTGTTCAAATTACTGTGAACGTTCTTCCATAGTGGAAAAACCACGTTTTGTGCAATCTACTTGGAGGAAAACCATGGGGTTTTCCAGACCAATGGGACACGTTTACCCAATGGTAAAATGGATTTTCACCATCAACATGATGGGGGATAAAATGGAGATATAATGATTACCATCTGGTTAGTTAACATAGCCATGGAAAATCATCATTTTTAAGTTCGGTAAACCATCTATTTCTATGGGCCATCTATACCGTGGCTATGTTAGTCATAACCAGAGGGTATACTTGGAGGCCGTGACGACTCCGATCACAAGGGGGTGGTACCTTGCTGAAAACTGTTGAAGGTTCATGGTGATGAAATAAGCATAATGGGTAAAACGATCATAAACCATCCCCACAGTCATCACCATAAACAGGTGATATATTTACCATTCCCAGTCATGGGTGGTTTATGACATTGTTCTACCTACATTACTGGAGCTGGGGTAACACCAGATTTGGGAAAATCCACTTGTGATTGGCAAACAACTGCACAGGATAGGGCCCTCAAGATAGCTAAGTTGGTTTATAAGTGGTTTAACACTGGTTTATGGTAGATATAACTATAGTTAATGGACTAAGTTGGTTTATAAGTGGTTTAACACTGGTTTATGGTAGATATAACTATAGTTAATGGGCTAAGTTGGTTTATAAGTGGTTTAACACTGGTTTATGGTAGATATAACTATAGTTAATGGGGATTAGAATGGTTTATAAACCAACTTATAACTGGGGGGGCCCATCCTGCAGCTTTCTTCCATTTTTTGTCTCCGACCTCGATTTTCATCATGGGCTTGGAAGTCGTTTATGGTCCATGGAGTAAATCAGCGAACTTAAATGGTCATGTTTTTTTCATAGCACACTGTTAGTGTACTGGCGGGCACCATCTGGTTATTTAACATAGCCATGGAAAATCCCTGAAATAAATGGAGGTTGATGTCGCTGGGAACATCATCTATTTCTATGGGCCATCTATACCATGGCTATGTTAGTCATAACCAGAGTATATGTGATCATCATCTTCCACAGGTAAAATGCCGTTTTGTAGAATATCAACCCTGTATGAATAACCCCCAAACGGCCGCTTAATTTAGAGGGCGTAGCCTCTAAATATTCCCAAACATATAGGCACCTAATCAACTTAAATACCCTGAGTTGACATTCCCGAAACCAAAAAGAAATCTCCAGATCCGTGTATATGGTGGTTTCCTGAAATAGGGGTACTGCCAAATCATCACATTTTAATGGATTTTTCCACTATAAACCATCCATTTTGGGCTACCCTCATTTATATATGAACCATTATAAACCACAATAACTAGTTCGTTATATCTACCGTAAACCATACTTTATTCAGCCACTTTTTTGTTCGCCGTTTCGGAAATCACGCTATCGCTCGCTATCGCTATCGCTCGACAACGGGGGCCCCATATCCTGGCAGATGCAGGACTCAAGTACCAGAGATCTGATCTTCAACGTTCCGCAGATCATCAGCTTTTTGTCTATGGGCTCCAGGTGGAATGCCTGGCACCATGACTGGGGACTTGATGGAACTTGGGAACTTGGGGATGGTCAAGTGTATCCCCAACTATAGACATAAAACCAATTAAAAACTAGGGAAACTGATGATAAAACCATGGGATCTTGCTGTACTTTACAGACAAAGCCACGTGCATTATATACCAAGTTCCGTTAGGGTAGCATAAGCATTGGTACCGCTCTTGCGTGGGGTTTGAAACTCTTTCGACAGAAGCACTGAGTATGAGTCAATTCTAGCACTATATATTTTTCTTACTGGTGCTAAACGTAGGGAATTTTCGGGAATGATCCATTTCATCACTAGTAATAATCATCCCAGCAACCCCCAGCAACCCATCCAGCAACCCTACGTAAAACGCACCAGTAAGTTTTTGGTCGAATCCCAGTGGTTTTTCGGTTTTTCAACACATAAGTTGGGGATACATAATCCCTATAAACACATATAAGGATTAAGGACAATGGGGCTTAACTATGGTTTATGGTAGATATATATATATACACATATATATATATAACTAAGTTATACATATATATATATATAACTATAGTTGTTGGGGTTTGAACCTACAAAATTGAGGATATGATTTGGGGGTTTCCATAGTCATGGGGGTACTCCCAGCTCGCTGGATGGTGAATATTTCATGGAAAATCCGATCTAGACATGGATGAGAACTGGGGGTACCAGCATTTTTAGGAAACCTCCATATATTCACTTATAACTGGACACTTCCAAGTATGTTTCTTGTGGTTTATGGTATGGGCACCTCTAAGAGGCCGTGCGTTTTTGAGTTTTTTGGGGTGGGGTGGGGGGGGGTGTGATAACGTTCATGTCTCTTGCGTGCAAGGTGATGCGACGTGGATGTCACCACATGAAGCACATCGCAGCTTTTGGCTAATTCGTTTGTTTTCGCCCTCGCGCCATTTTTTCTCTTCGCGTTCAGCATGAACACCTTCGCTCTTATCGTGTCGAGCAGCATCTCATTGCTGCAGATGCTTGAGCCCAGGGCCCTCTGGATGCTGCAGGCCAGGGTGAACTTTAAAGGGGTCGAGAAGTCTTTTTTTAAGTTGTTGTTTACAGGACATAGCTTTAAAGTTAGTTTCAGAAATGTTTTTCTTCTGGTTGTGACGTCAACCCTGTTTGAGGTTGCCCTCGGGCATCGTAGACTCCAGGGGCCCTTTTTTTTCCTAGCCAGGCTAGGTTTTTTTGACCTGCCGCACGATGCAGTGCCTTGGCGTTTTTGATGATGCTTTTTTGTATGGTTTTGTTTGGTTGGGTCTTTTCTTTTTGTTACAAGGGGATATGTATGGATCATCGCTGCATCCAGTTGTAAGATTTTTTTTATTCCAAGAAGTTACTATACATAATGGTTGGTGCTGATAATGTTTCCATAGGATTGGTACTTTTTTTTTTGGGGGGGGTTCTTTTGGATTACGGGTTTTTGAAAGTATAGCTATTCTGAGGTCAGAGTTTGCACGCTGTATGGCTCAACCTGGCTGCACGAGCGAGCCTCTTGGGTCAGTTTTCGCGCTGAGACGCGGCTTGGAGCATGGGCTGCCGCGGAGGCTTTTTTTCGCCTCCACCTGCGCGACGGGCGCAGGTGGCAGGTCCAGCTCCCATTTCATGGCGCCGAGTTCCGGCAGTTGGAGCTGCTGGTGGTCTGATGCTTGTTTTCTGTTTGGGGTGGTCGATGGATAACCACGATTAACATTGGGGCTTTCGGGGCTTTGCGTGCTTATGCTTGCTTTCTGTTTGGGGTGGTCGATGGATAACCACGATAAACACCATCGGTGCCAATGGCTTTGGCGCTTAGCTTGTCTGGGGCCCCGCAGGGGCTGAGACCGCAAGAGGCTCCTTGCGGGGCCTCGAGGAAGATTCTGACAAAGACGCTTTGCCTTCAAGTTTCCTTAGGGGCCTGGCCTCGCGGCGGGCCGCTTGCATTTGGCTTAGTGGGCCAGGGTGATAGATGGGCAACCACGGTAAACACCATCGTTCCAAATGATAGAGTTTAGCCTAATCTGTGTTTGTGGCTGTGGTTGTACATGTATAACCACTGTAAACACCATGAGGGCTTTGGGTGCTGCTAAGTCATTCGTGCTTGCAGTCGAGACGGTACGTGGTTACACGACGCTAAAGAGCATGAGGGTTTCGATCTCTGTAGGATGATGCTGATGGTCTGATTTTGTTTTTTGTTTGGGGTGGTCGATGGATAACCACGATAAACACCTGTGGGGCTTTCGGGGCTTTGCGTGCTTATGCTTGCTTTCTGTTTGGGGTGGTCGATGGATTACCGCGATAAACACCATCGGTGCGAATGGCGTTGGCGCTTAGCTTGTCCGGGGCCCCGCAGGGGCTGAGACTGCAAGAGGCTCCTTGCGGGCCCTCGAGGAAAATTCTGACAAAGACGCTTTGCCTTCAAGTTTCCTTAGGGGGCGGGCCTCGGGGCGGGCCCTTCGGGGCCCGCCCCGGGGCCCGTCCCCGCCCCTTCGTAGGCGAGAAGGCGGGCCTTCGGGGCACGCCCTCTGCGGCCGAATTTAAGAGCCCTAAACCCCTGGGCGAACTCGGACTTGGGGTTTAGGGTAGGATAGGGGCCGGGGGGGCCTAAAGGGGCATATGCCCCAGGGTTACAGTTTGTTGCTAATGTAGAATGGTTTGGATCTGGTTACTGTATGGGGTCACCAACAACAAAAGGAAATGATTGATTATGAAGTAAGAATTCTCTGAAAAGGGTAAAGGAGTTGAGTGACTTCGGGTCTTTTGTGTTTCAATGAGTTGACGTTCGGATTCTTTTTTGAATTCGTTGGCTTTACAGCTGTTCTGGTATCCTCCGAAAATAATGGATTCAAAGGGCTTTGTAATGTTACCCTTTGTGTTTCTTCCAGCTTCCGGGGTTTGGTCCAATCCAGCGGGTTCACGGCATGACACCACATGAAGCACATTGCAGCTTTTGGCTAATTAGTTTGTTTCGTCCCGCCCTCGTCCTTTTTTTTTTGGCAGCTATGATGCGCAATTTTGTCGTGAATGCCGCTCTTGCCCTGATCGCTCACACTCCGGCCATATTGCAGCTTCTCACACCTTGGGACCTACATCGGCTGCAGGCTAGATTCTAGATAGGACGGAGCATTTTTGAAGTTGTTGTTTACAAAGGTGGTTCTTTTGACGAAAGCTTTAAAGTGAGTTCAAGAAACGTTTCGGTGTTTTTGTTGTAGCGCCAACCCTGCTTTAGGTTGCGCTTGGCAGTCGCTTCCGTCTGCCGCAACCTTTTCGCTTCATAGCCGAACTTGGTTTTCTCCAAGTTCCGGCTGCAGCCGTGCCTTGGCATTTTTGGTCAAGCTTTCTCCTTTTGGCTTTTTGGCTTTTCGGTAGTTTTTGTTTTTTTCGGGAGGGTTTTGATATTTTATCCCTATGGAAAGATCGTGACAATAAGACATAGTTTTTCGTATTTGTTGATGACGATCATGTTTCTATGCGCGGGAGATGGTTGCACTTCTTGTTGTATGTACAAATATATAGTTGTTTTTTTTTATTTGCTTGCTGCTTCCAAGGTAAGGGTGAGAGGCTATTATGGTGTCTGGGATGAGCTTTTTTTGAATATGGCCCGGTTGCACCCGGCCTCCGTGCTCGGCGGCGGTGGTGAAGCCATAGCACGGGCCACTTTACGTAGCTTAGAGCGGCGGCAGCTGCAATTGCCCCCACATAGGGCTGGCTTCGCGCTTCAGCGCCAAGTCCTACGTAAGTATTTTGTTTAACATCATGTCAGATATTGATGATGGACTTCAAGTTATATATATGCTACGCTGCAGATGGTTATAATATAGAGTATTTTGTTCAACATCATGTCAGATATTGATGATGGACTTCAAGTTATATATATGCTACGCTGCAGATGGTTATAATATAGAGTATTTTGTTCAACATCATGTCAGATATTGATGATGGACTTCAAGTTATATATATGCTACGCTGCAGATGGTTATAATATAGAGTATTTTGTTCAACATCATGTCATAGAGTATTTTTTTCAACATCATGTCAGATATTGATGATGGACTTCAAGTTATATATATGTACGAAGAAATTGCCACGACGACATGTACAAATGTCTAGGAGACCTTTGCCGCAAAAGCGGCTGAAACAAAGAGAAGAAAAAGCGTACAGCTGCCTTTTCCAACATGATGGCTTTCGTCCCACAAAAACCAGTGAAATCACACCGAGACTGTAATTTTTCCATACCCTTCCATGACTTTTGACACACCCACAATATATAGATATCTCTGAAAAACCGCTCTCGTTGCGGCGAAACCTTGGAACATCATTGAAGAGAAATATATCCATGTGCAAAAACGCACGGCCTCTTAGAGGCGCCCACACCTGGTTTATGGACCGGGATTTTTAGAGAAAAATCATCAATTCATGGGAAATTCATGAAATTAAACGTGACATGTGAGTTTAAATTATAGATGGTCTTAGATGATTTCCCCGTCATATTGCCAGTGTTTCCTATCAGAATCAGTGACCATTGCCAAGTATGTTTGTTGGTTTATCCTGATTTTTTCATAGGAAAATCATCTATTGCGATATTCAATGGGAAAACCATGAAACTAAATGTGAAATGTGAATCTCAACATATTTTACTGTGAAACATGTAAGACAAATCTATACTTCACTTTAGTTCACGAATAGCTAATGTTTGAAGGTGTAACATGCCCATATTTTTGGCAGAAAAGACCCCCTCGCCCAGCCCTTAGTCGCAACGCTGTTCAGGCTACTCCCGGGCACAGTGATTCTTACAGGCCTTGCTGTGCGCAGTTAAGCCACAAATGCGGATTTACCCAGCTCAAAAAATTGGATTTCACCAGTAAAAAATGTGCAAAAACAACTAGAAAATGGGAATTTAACCAACAAACATGTTGATTTTACCGGGAAAATGGTATGATTTAACGAGAACTCTAGATTTAAGCATCCAATTGGTAAGATTGAAAGTGGGGTTTTCAAGAATTGGGGAAATGCACACAGGGGGACCATATCTAATATCTAGGAAAGGCATTATGGGTGGTGTTGTTCAAAGCTCACGAAAACATGTGATGACATATTTACCAAAAAACATTGCAGTGTGGGGTTACAGCATGTCTTCATGTTTTGTACATACGAAGCGTATTGTCACCATTTTCGTTACTTGGCACAACCCATTGGATTGGAAAGGTTCTCATATTTTTGCTATTTTTTAATGATAGAACCATGCTTTTTTTGCAGATTTTCCCTTCAACCAATTCATGATCCATCCAAAACAACAAACAAAGCATGACCACTTGATAGTTGAGCCTCGCCTTTCTGAACCCTCAGGCACACCCTTCGGCAGGGAATCCCAGACACGGAAGACACAAAGTGCAGTGTGGGGGATACATTTGACCGAGCAAAAAGACATGGAGGTTTCCTGAAATAGGGATACCCCTGAATCATCAATTTTAATAGGATTTTGAAGATAAACCATCCATTTTGGGGTAACCCCATTTTAGGAAACCCTCACATGTTCACAAACTAAAACTTAAAGAAAACATGGGCATTCACAAGTGAACCAAACCCCATGATTTATATACATTATATCATATATATATAACAATATATATATAATAATAGTAATAATAATAGTAATAATAATAGTAATAATAATAGTAATAATAATAGTAATAATAATAGTAATAATAATAGTAATAATAATAGTAATAATTATAATATATATTATAATATATATATATAATAATAGTAATAATAATAACAACAATAATAATAGTAATAATAATAATATATATAATAATATATATATATTATACTAATGATCTAATATGGGTTTATATAAAATCCCATGAACCCCATAAATCCCATCATCCCATTGAATGCTTTCACCATATCATGGGTTCCGAGGTGTGGCCGAAGGAAGAAAACCTCAACCGTGGTTGAAGCTGGGCGTCCCAGGACATGTCCAGCATAGGGGATATCCTGGGTTAACACCTACAAAAAGATGTGGCAAACCCATGGTTTCCCTGGAGAAAGGTCTACAAATGGTGGGGGTGTACTGCAGCTTTTTGGATCTTTATAGGATCAACAAGAATGGTAGAAACCAACTGTAGTGGGTAATTTGAGACATCTTTATTTTTTGGAAATTGAGCTGGGGCTTGGAAAACGATCATACACTCTTCAAAATACGATAAAACATTTGCTTGTATACCAAAACCTGAAAGACGATAATACACTCTGCAAAAATTGATGACTTGGAGCTATATACCAAATATTGACCGTGGCTTCATATAATAGGATAGAATGGGATATGTTTCGATATAATGTGATATGAGGCAATGGGATACATATTTTATTCATGTAACAGAAATCATTCTGAAGCTCCTTATTTGAATTTCCTGGAAGATCACGATGTGACAAAAGGGTATTGCTTGATTTTTTTCCAAGGCGTTCCGAATGGTCTACAAAAGTGAAACAATTGGTGTACAAAGCAATGATCCATACTCCATTTGCCAAATGACTTTAAATTTTTGCTGGGTATGAAAAACCACAGCCAATAAAATTATGTACAGCATTGAGCTGTGGGACCCACATCAACCTTCGCAACCTTCAATCAACTCATTTCCAGGATAATTCAGGATTATTCTTGTTTGTTGTTTGTGTCCGCCGTTTGTTTGTCAAATCTCATTGTATACTTGACGCACCATGACGTAACCCATCCGTAGAAATTATAGGTTACTGACGTCCATTTGGGTAGAGCCATGATTTCAACCTAAAGAAATCAATTCGCATCTCCATCAGAATATAATTTTACCCTCTGGTAAACTAACATAGCTATTGAAAATCATCATTTTGAATAGGTAAATCAACTATAAATGGTATATTTTCAATAGCTATGTTAAATTACCAGAGGGTAGATGCAATAAACAAATCCCTGAACGTTCCAATAACACCCAATACAATCCCATAGAATCACCATATTTGAACATGGCTGGTTATACTACTCCAACTGTGGCATGGGATTGTAGTTATTATTACTTACTAATTCTGATAGCAGAACTTTTTACTATTGCCAATATCAACTAAGATTAGATTAGTTTTGGTAAGTAATACCCTCTGGTAAACTTTCACATAACTATGGGAAACCCACCCATTTTTCATGGGAACATTCACAACGTTAATGGTGATTTTCCATAGTTATGTAACAATT